TTAGTAACATTGTTTTATTGTATGACAGAATCGATATCATTGATATGCACCCTTTTGCCTGCTTCATTTTGAGAGCAAACTTTCCCATAAAAACCTTTTTCTTGACATCGAAAAGGCAGTCAATTTTGTGAGTTGTTAAGAATTACAGCAGAAAAGCAAGATTTTCTTGGAGGGGTATTTATGTTTGTTAGAACTATTTCTAATTTTCAAAACAGTTTTGCATTTTTATATGTTTAGTTGTCGAAAGGTTGGATTATTTATCTGATGTACTTGAATTACCATCACTGAACTGCAAGCCAAATTTGAAGCGTATTATCAACTTGCTTACTACAACAGTACAGCCTGAAGTATTAGGTCCGATGTCACGATACAAACTGCTTCAAATGAAACAAAAATTGGTTCAATGCGGTAAGGCACAGAATAAATTAGAGCAACACAGAAAGAAAACCCAAAAACAGATGAATTATTTTAATAGTTACAGTAAAGTCCCGAGAAATATGAATGTAAGTTAATTGAAATTGTATTCAGTTTCATTGTTATTAGTTTACTCCGACAGTCTGATATTTAATGTTTGATGAACGTATTTACATATATTCGGATCTATTCTTACTTAGTTTCTGTCTCATTATCTGCGTAAAGTGTGGGAAAATTCAATTTTTGTGCCCCAACACAATACGAATTGACAATAATTGATTGTTCTCTGAGATTCTTCACAAATATTGTTAGGGTAGTATTCAGTGCCATATTTTCTCCGATACTAGAATAATCCAGTTTTGTAAAGTATTCACCAGGGCCATTTGTTACTAAAATGATAATTTATTTATTATAATTAGCTATATAAAAGTGATCTCATATTTGTTTTTAAGCAAACTTGTAAAATTCAGCAAACTATTGAATTAGTTTACAGCCAGTATTTGAATGAACTCGTGATCATTTATCAACTGAACATTTTGGAAGCCATATTCGCGACTTAGTTACTCCTGTAATTATTACTTCATAAAATCAATGTTTATTTATAAGTTTTAAACCTATTTCTGTTCAGAGTTGTAACTAATGAAGACATGAGTCAGAAAGGTGTCTTCTCAAACTGTTGTGTGCATATCAACTCAGATTTAAAGCACGTATACAGCGAATTATACCTATTAACAACCATGTCAAGTTATTCAGTATTTCAATAGAGATATTTCTTTTTTTCGATCACTTAAGCACTCTGTATTTATGGATTGCCTGGTTATGGTGGTAACGCAATAATGTTTCTTACAGGAAGTAACGCTAAAAAATAATGCATAGTATTATTAAGAGATGCTGAAACGATTGTTGGCAAACATGTATGACAAAACATATTATATTGGAAGGTTGAACATCAAATTCTAGGTTTCAAGGGACCGCGATCTATGTAACAGCACTTACTTTTTATTTGTTTGCCTAAAGTTTTATGTTGATTCATATCGGCGATAAAACATCTTAACAATTTGTAAGATCTAAAGTCGCTTATTATTGGTTTAAAGGATGATTTATTAATTAGATTCAGTAAGGTTATGTTCGTATTATCATATTTAATATTAGTAGTAGGGATCATGTAATCCTACACATTCGTCGACCTTTACATAAGAAATTTATATCTATATATGTTTTTTTAAATAGTGTATACAGAACTCACTCAATAAAAAAACCGATCTGCTTGCTCATGAATATTTGGATGAAATCTCTGATAAACTAGAAGAAGCAGAACAGTTGTACAAATGGAGTCAATGTCTACCTCAGTTGTGATTTAAAAGAACAGACTTTGTTTACTAAGAGTATGTTTTGAGTAAAAGAGAAAAAAATAGAGAAATAACTTTAATAAATGTCAATGATATGTTTGATACTTGTTCTGCCATGATGAATATTTACACTAGTTAGTGTTACTTCTAGAATTTATAAGGGTTCTTTTTAAATCTCGCTTAGTTGATCTCTCAAAGTAGGCTGCAATTTTTCTGGTATATATACCCTATCCATATATTGTATTTAAACTTGCCTACTATGAATAAAAGCAACCAAAATACCGAATTGCACATAAGAGTCATGAAACTAAGGGATAAAGTATGTCTCAAGAGCACTAAGATTATGAACAATAAAATTTACTCAGTGAACAATCTAACTTTCTGTCGTAGTGTTCTAGTTTTAGTGAGAAAACATCATATGACTTTCCAATGAGAATATCAGAATTTAGTGCGATTACAATAAAAACTGTTTGTTGAATGGGGAACGTTTCCAAAGTAAACAAGGTTTTTCAAGTTGAGAGCAATAGAATGTCCAGCTAGAATAGTTGATTAACTGGTGGAATACAAAGTAAAATTTATAGATGGATGGGGACAGAAAGTCTGTTGCAACAGAATATCACATGCTCGCGCAGGTCTAGAAATGCTCAGCTTATAATTTAGACTACTTACAATTACAAAGTAGCGTGCAAACAACAAATTAAAAAATGAATGAAGGTCGAGAGTCGTTAACATTTGACATACTTCTTGGGATACTACTGTTACAGATACTCCAGCCTTATTATATTTATTAACTTGAGGTAAAGATATAACACAGTTGTGCTCATGGGTGCGTAGCAGCTGGAGTATAAAAGTACACTGTTATTCTGGAGACTACATTGGAACATTCGAGAATAATTTATAAGCAGATGGTTAAGTTAGTTTTGTCCATAGAAAGCCGTACATTTCCGAAGTACCAAATATTTTTCTGATGATAAGAAGGACTAGTGGACGAAGAGGGTCCAACGAATATTTTGTCATGGAAAAGTAAGAAAACATCCTCAAATTGGTTTCTGAGATCTTCGGATTTAGAGGAAATAATGTTCCATTTCAGAACCGTACAACTGGATAACTAGTTTAATTGAAATGAGAATAAATGTCAGGATTAATTTTGTTACAATCGTTGTATTAAGTTTAAGTAAAACTTATCATTACTGGCCAAATAATTCTACCACCCTACACTGCTTTTAGTATAAACAGATAACTTTATAGTTTAGAAATATTGCTTTGATTATATACGAACATTAATAATCATAAAGATGGTATTCGTTGCAATTTATTCTCAAAATATCCCTTAGTAAACTATGTTCGTATAGGCAGTGTCCGAAATATGATTCTGATACACAGTGTGCTAAGCGCTAAAATCCAACTGATCGCTTGAGTGAGAACACGATGATGAGTAAGAAAGTGTATTGAGATACCGAATCAAATGCACAAATACTCATTCGTATATATACCACTCTATCCTTAGGAATTTGACCTGTTTCTTAGCCAATGAAATGTACTTTTATTAGATCACTCCTGGTTGCCAACGTTCGACCTTCTCATTAGGCTAATTTTGAGTGAATCTCTATATCAAATCATTTGATGCTACTCCTTTTGATGTGAAGTGTGTTAAACGATTGAAATTCCCTAACATTCTGTGTTAACAATAAATTTCTTTATTAACACATTTACTGATTTAAGGAAAATCCTTATCAGTGTTTTTCAACGCCTGTGATTAGATTTTAATCACGATGCACCGAAATTTGATTCAGAATGAGTTATTTGTATCATATGCAAAAGCAATGGTACATCAGAGGCTGGTTGGTTATTTAAGTTCTTCGATCGATACAAACAACTAGTACAAATATCGAGTTCTTGCTTAATTTGTAATTTATCTTTGGACTAACTAATTATTCACTAGATAACTGATTTAGTTAAATTATGAAGACGAATAGTAAGGTAGTTTAGATAGTAAAAGTATCACTGTTAGAAGAAAAGATTAGAAATGGAGAATATGATTCAGGATTGAATAAAGAATTGGCAGACTAAAAAATGGATCGGTTTTTAGGCTGAGGATTTAGAAGAAAATATAGATTGGATGCATCTGTTGAATCGTGCCCGAATGTGAGTCAATTCAAACAAGATTTTCAATCGCTGGTAGTAATAACTGCGCATATAGCAACCAGGTGATCTACGCCTAGTGATACAGCTCAATTTAATAATCAATTGCTTTATGGTCTAGTACAAAGTTTGATCTTGAATGCCTCTATCTTACAACCTTGATTGGTGGCTTTTTTTAAGTAAAGAGAGTAGTCATTGTCATGACTTTTATCTTGTTGATTATCATGTGACTAAATCGCCAATCAGAACAAGATTTATATGACCTTGACACTGTGTCAAATCAATGACGCATAAAAACGGTACGAGCAGTCTAGAGTCAACTATTAGTCCTTATTAGTTCTTTTCGTCTACTCAGAGCCATTTGAGTCCAGAATATAAATCTCAGCTCCCACTGTATGAAACAAGTGTTTCAGATATACACAGTTTATATACGAGTAAATCGAACCGCATCATACAGCATCAAGCCAAAAGTGGCTGTGATAGTGAGAAACTGTAACTAATAGATAGGGAATATATCAAGAATGGTAAATCGTATAACTGCAGCCAATAAATCAAATGTAAGTTCATGATAAAGGGAATATGAATGTATATAATCCAGTTACTTAACACTTATGCAGTAAGAATATATATAATGACGGTCCATAAATAGTTTCCTGATGTTACCCATAATTTAATCTTCGTTAGAATATACCAGTCACAATAAATGTTATCATAACTTTATTATCATGAAGTGATTAGTATGGTCCAGCCTTTAAATAAGATTGCATAAAATAATGACGATAATCAATGTGGATATCAGTAATAAAATCTCATTTTAAGGTCCTGGAATGTTGAACTATTGATAGTAAGGATGTAATGGTACGTGAGATTATAACTAAATACTTTACTACCCTAGTATGGTACTCTTCATCTGGTGAGGACCTATGGCTCTATTAGGGATAGAATCCAGGACTACTAAGAATTACACATACCAAATCGAAACAACTGTCTAGTGCCCATAAATTTTCAATGCTACCCCAACTGAGGCCAATTAGTAATAAATACAACCTATAAATTTAACATATCTTCACAAAACTAATTAAAAAATCAACAATAATAATAAAATAATTCATTTAAATCTATATGACAAAATAAAATAATCCAGTATATTGGCGAAAACAAAACAGTTGAGAAACTAACAAATATAAAATTCATACAATAAATATAAGACAAATCATGAGTAAGAAAACTGATCTACGCAATTAGCTTGCTTACATGATATATCTTTAAATATTTCATAAGCTGAATCTTAATTTGTAACAGAACGGATTTCACAAAATGGATCATCAACATTAAAACAATAATCGTAATAATAATACTGAGCACATTGTTTAAAAAGTTAGCCGGTGAAAAGGTCTGTAATGTGTTTATATATTCTGACGATAATATATTTTATTTATTTTTCAGTGATGAATTCTATAAGGATGGCCACATGGTGCACGATCACTAAATATCGAGTTCATCTGCTTCAAAGTTCTATATGATCGATGCGAATTTCCTGAATTTTTCAAATGTTTCGCTTCATTCAAATATTTTTGTCCCTGTCATTTAAAATTCGATTAAAAGTGTCATTACATAATTAGTAGTAACTTCAGTATAGAAATATAATTGATAAATCTTAAAATTAAGATGAATTTTTAAAATGATCGAATTCATATTACTTTAACAGTAAAGAATAGATCAGACGTACTTGTACAATTAGAACAAAAGAAACGTTGTATTATTTTTTAGTGCTGGAAACAAAGGACAAATAAAACCACCATTTAAATCGGAGTATTTATTTAAGTGATCGTTTTATTTGATACACGACTAGATCAAATGTTAATGTAAATCAGCTATCGACTTCATGTTTATTTACCCGGACGCAATCGCAGATTGATGTACTACTGAAGCATCAAAGTAACATTGCAGTTTGCTAGATGATATAGTAACCAAGAGTGTAGGCTTACCTGCCAAAAATGAATCTAATAATAGTAATCAGGAATGACCAATGAAAGATTATGTTTTAATGCTATTCAGCTTGATATTTGTAGTCATAATTATCCGTAAACTTCTAGATGTGAAGATATTGCCTCATCATTCTATATGAATTAGTGGATTACAAATTCTCTACAATCTATCTTGGTTGTAACCAAATGTTTTTTCGGTCATCAAAAGATGAGTACACCATTCAGCAATCTGGTCTGTATTAGTTTATGCTTAAGAAATATCGTCTTACAAGATTCAAAAGCACTACAGTTCAACTGAAAATGTCTTGGGACGATGAAATCATAAAATGAGTAATGTTTAAATTAGTATTAGGAGACTAAATAGAATTAATAAAAAAGCTGATGAGATTTAGAGCATTCATCAGCTGAAACCACTGAGATGTGAACTACTCGTGATCAGACCTCGCTTATCTCCATATCCAATGGTTGTTAACAGTGGAATGTCGATTAGTGGTGGGTAAAATATAACTCCATGTGAACTGATGAAGTCACTGCTTATTGAACTGGGCTGTTTAATAAATTATAAATTATCAGGTTGAAGTTCATAAGCGATAACTTTAGTCCAATTGCATAGCACATATTCACTCTCGATGGAACGACTTCACTAATTACTTTCCTTTCTCAAAAACCTAACTTTTTTATTATGCATTTTTAATTTCTCGGCAAAATTCTTCCTTGCCGTACTATGTTTTTTACGATCAGTTTTCCTACTGTTATTAATAGTTCTATCATTGTCATCTTATCAATTTTATTAAACCTTAATGTTGTGAACTATAAAGACCCGATCTTATCTTCATTTGTGTCAGGTCCCATGCTGTTTAAAATCAAATGATTGAATGATTTTGAATATCAGTAAATTCAAAATGAAATAATCTATAAACATAATCTACTTCAAAATCTTGACTATAAAAGCAGAAGATAAATGAAGAAAAGTATTTTTTTAATATGTCAAAAGTTTGTATACGAAATTTACAGAACAACTTGTATACAATGCCATATTTGTTGAAAGGAATGTAGTGTGTTGATCAGTTGATACGACTATCATACTGAAGGATTGTTTATAAAACTTTATAAAGTGAATAAGGATTTTTGCTAAAATTTTTCATTGACTTTATACAATTTGTTAAACATATCTAATGACAATTCAACGAATTTTGACTTCTTTTAAATTTTCCAAGGTGGATGCTTCTAATGGTGTCGAGTTCTCTAACCTATTTCTTCACGAAGTAGGCTCAGAAGATGTCCAGAATGACAATAAAAGCTTCTCATCCAACTTGAAGAGCTCAACATCACTGAATTAATAAATGTATTTTTTGATACGCCTGCTAATTAAACAAAAAGACCCGTCATTCAGTCGCAACGTAGAACCTGGTGCATATGTACAACGTTTCATCAGTACACAGATAAAATAGATTGTTAGGCCAAATCACAGAATAGAAGAGGTAGTAACAATACCAGCGGTGATTACGTGTTGAACATACCATTCGGAAAAGAAATTTAAATTAGTGAAAGAAAAACAGAAGAGAACAGTTATGAATGACTCAGAAGCTCAGAATTTGAGGCAGGAAAACCATTAAACACCTGGAATCACTGAATGGCTATTTCGTCCTAGTATGAGTCTCTTCGGCAGTCGGTATTCATAAAGTGCTAGGGTTGAAGCTATCACGAGTTCACTTAATCTGAGAACGAGGAAAAAGTCTCGGTGACCAAAGACCAGTAAGCTAGCTATTGATGAAGTCCAAGCTTGGAATGGGGAAGTATATTCTGCAAACAGCCAGAAAAGAGCGATAACAACAAACACAATTCAAAACGTATATATACAGTACAAAACCGCCCTTGGGGAGAGTTACCAAATAGCATACTAAAAGATTCAACGGACAAATAGCATTAAAGATATTTCCCATTGGGAAATACGACATGTAAGATGACATGAGCGCCCTTGGCGCGAAAACAAAGAAATTCAAATTTTCTAAATAAAATTATAAAATTGGATCCTTTCCCAAGTGAGTTCTGGGGACCTAACATCCCCAAAATAAACCTGGATGCGAAGATCAAACACAAGATTGATTGAAGTTACACTCTTAAAAAATTAGATGTCAACTCAATGATCCAGAGGTTAATCGTTCGCAATCCAATATTTTATCTACGAGCTTGTTTTAGCATCATCGTTCCGAATCTGAGTTTGCTTAAATAATAATAAACTAATAGGTAAAGTATTCACATCAGATTTGTTTTATTTTTGTTTTATTTTTTGTAAGCTGGTTAGAGTTCATTAGGTCATTATTCGTTCCAATGAAAGCTAGTACGTGAAAAATACCTACATGGTATTTCAATAACAGCCTTGAAAAAAAGAAACTCAACTAATGTTTACTACAGTACATACCATATCAAGTTCATTTGTTAGTAAATTAAATTCATTTTGAGGAAATGGCCAGTTATTCTTTTCAAAAGTTTTCAAAATATTCGCATAATCTTGATACCAACATAGTTTTGACCGCCACTTTGTATACTTATCAAGATTAACATCTTTACGCAGATTATTTAAAGAATCATTATCGATATATTCAAATATTATTTCAATTAGTTTTCTATAAGAGAAAAGAAAAAAATTCATCAAAAACCCAGAAAATGGTTGTAAATTTCGATTGAACAAAGAAACACTATTATATACAAATGTTTCTAAAAATTCAGTATAAAAATTAAGTTTGGTTATTTTCCCACATAGTTTTCTATTTTGCTAAAATGTCATTATTTAATAGTCGTTCATAGAATTACATTTACTGAAATTTTACTTTCTCATAAAGGTGGTTACAAGAAACTCATTAATAAGATTCTTAGAAAGTTTATTCTATTTTACATAAAGCTGCGTCTTAAATAACCACATTAACTTATATGAATGACAAATTTTTAATGAATTTCCTGGAGTTCTAGTGAGAAGCCATGGCCAACGGAGTTCAACTGTATCTGTTGTGAGGCAGTTACTCATTGAAGACAATGGTGGACGATCGCGCAATATCGTGTATTGGTTGAAGTTATACATTAACATCGTTTGACGCCGGTTCAGTGATCTGGAGGTTAGGCGTTTGTGCGCGAGCCTGAAGGTCCTGGGTTCGAGTCTGGTGTGCAGGATTGTGGATGCGCACTGCTGGGAAATCCCATACTAGGACGAAATGGCCATCTTGTGCTTCCAGGTTTTCAATGGCGATCTAGCATGGATTCATTCCTGATATCAATTTAAACTCAACAATCTCCATAACCTTAAACTTGCATAAATAATGGTTGATTATAAAATATGAACTGCTTATACTTTAAAAAATTGTTACCAAAGATAAAAAAATAAATTCCTTTCATTCTCTTGTATTGTATACATAAGTCATTTCTATCAAGGTTTAAAATGTATTAGTTATCAGGTTAAAGGAAATAATCCAATGACTTTAGTTGAGTTAATACATCGCGAGGATATCGTATCTCTTTTGCAAGACTGCATGAATTCGTTGGCTTAGGACACTATAACGTATAGATCACAACCCCAGTCAATGGAAACCATTAAATAAGCTTATTTTGTTTTCCGCCTAAATAATGGCAACCAATGCATTACGACTTGGATTCAATTTCAATTCCTCTCAATAGTTAATTTGTCTTAAAAATTAAGTCGCTTATTATGCAAATATATTTATGATTTACAATCAGATATTACGCTGTTAACGTTTTGTTAATATGTCATTTATAAATGAGAATAGTTATGCAAAACCTAAATAAACGTACATTCAAACAAATTTATTCATATTTTGGTACAAAAATGTATCTTTAATGAAAGATGAAACACTATCATACCATGCGCTTACTTCTCAATTAGGAATAATGCATTTCTTAGATCTTTTTCATATCGTTCAAAATTAATTGCCAATGGATTGAATAAATGAATCTCAGGGGATTTTGTAGATTTTTTTCTATTCACATATGCTATTGGTAGGGTTTGTTTTAATACTTCAGATACAACATGATGTCTTAATGCTGGTATATATGTTGGACGTAAGCGAACTGTGAATGATTTTAAGAGATCAGTTAAACGAAGCTTTTTTGCAGTTAGACCATGATTAGATAACCAGTTAGGAATTGTATAACTGAAAAAAAATATAATCAAGCATTCAGCCTTGTGAAATTTCAAGATTTCCAACTATTTAGTTCAAATGGTGGATTTTGATGACAATGTATAGCTAGACAAACATTAGAAGTCAGCTAGTTCTTCATAGATGTTTTGTTCTTATTTGGAAATTTGTAGTAGATACTTACGAACCCGTACACAGAATATAGATTATGACTCAGAATTTGATATGGGTATGATGCTTTAAATCAATTAAGTCAAAATTTATTTAGCCAAATTTTCAACTTCAGTTGATTTGTGATACTAAACAACTATTATTGACTTATCAGTGAACGTTCATGTCTTACCCTTAACATGGTTGAACACCATGAGTAACAGATTCTCACTAGAAGATTAAGAATCTATTTCAATCCTAATCAATATTTATAGCAGACTGTGGTGAACATCACCACCAGATATAACATTTTTACTGAAAACGATCAGCCATACTGTTTGTTGAATAACAATATGCTTAATGATTGATTGTAATTTGATCCTCCTCATTCATCATAACCGACAAATTACAATTGACCTTAACATCGAAGTATTCAATAAATAAATGAGATACACGAATATTACTCATTTTTAGTGATCACTTTATTGATGTATGTTATAATACCAAAAAGTCAATTTGTTTAAAATACATAAATTCTTTTCTGTTTTCTATTCGAAAACATTGAATAATGAAATGAAATATCGATGAAAAGTGGTAACTGTCGTTGAATTTTATAATATCTGTTGCCATCTCTTATAGTGCTAATGCAATAATCGTCTGAATTTTCATTATTGCTATTATATATTTAAATTGATTAGATGGTCAGTCAGTCTGACATTTAATTTCATTCTGCATTTGTCATACAGATAACTTCAAAAAAAATTAACAAGACATTTTTATTACTCATTTTAGATATTATAAGATGTGTTGAGTCGCCTTCCGAGAGATACAACGGAGCCTGCAGAGGCCCTAAAGGAGCCGAAGAGTTCCAGCCAATCAGAACATGATGGAGCTTTCTAGAATATCAACGTGACATGCTACTATTGGTCAGTAGCATGATTGGCCAAAATGTAATGTTGATTTAACAAATGTTAATATCTTTAAATACCCATGATTTTCTGTACACTTTGATTCTTACCAAATAAACACTTCTCCAGCTTTCCTTCTGTCTTCTGATTTGCGACGGTGAAGTCCAACGTTCGAGTGTCGTAGCCGTAAACTGTATTCTGCATTATCAAGTAGCGAACTTAACAAGATGTTTGAATCAGCCATTATGTACTTCGTTTTTTTCGTTCCGAAAGATAATGGACAATCATTGTCGACTGTCGATCTCATAACGATGCGAATTTATTGATAAAGCCTTTTCAATACAATGACAGAGTTTATTCAGTCAGTTCATAATATAGCAGCAATACGACTCATTTTAGTCAAGGTTTCCGTTCAGATATCCTGTATATTCCGTTGAGTATAAGACCGTTGTTAATTTTTTCATATTAATTCACAGGCTTTAACTTTATCAAAGCCAATAATGTGGAAAATAGTAAAAATATACTTACATTATGTCTGACCCCTCACTTGGACTGACTTTCTGCTTTGTTTTATTGAGAAGGATTTCGTCTGTTACATTGTTGCGTGGAAAAAGCGTTAGGAAAAAATATGTTTAAAGATACTTATTTTTGAAATATAATAATGATAATATAAATAATAGAAGCTAGCTACCAAATTTTCAGCCTCAAGGAAGGGAATAGAGGAAATTTTGAGGAAGGTGGGTAAATAGGACCCTGAATGGATCGGCTCAAAGTTAGCAGTGCTCGTCAGGAGTATAACTGGTCAAGTCTAGGACACTCAGTTATAGAAGAAATAATAAACGCAAAACAAACAAAACAAGAAAAGTATAACAAAAGTTCATGTATTTGCTCAAACTCTGTAAAAGAATTTTTTATCTGCATAGACAATTATTAGTGAAATTACCTTTTGTTACTTAATACTAATCAAAATGTTTTATCTGTGGGTTAACTCTCAAAAAGACTAAAGAAAAAACTTTGATCTTCAAAATAAAATGTTCATAAAATAGCCAATATTGAATAAATTAAACTTATTAAATAAACACTAATTAGTGAGATTAATTCAACTATGTATTCAAGAGTGATATTTTAAATTCACTGTTGTTTACCTGTTATAGCCTTATTGAACCGCTGACTTTGTCTTTCTAGTAATTGTTTAGTTTCATACAGTAGAAAATCTTTCTCATCCAAAGACGTTTTATATAAATTTTGTAAATTTGGATAATAAGTATCTGCTAGGATATAAAAGACATTTGTAAGTATCTTTGTAGATGCGTCAAAATCACAGATCAATAATACTTATCCGTAAATCATATTTTCATGACTACTTCTAGTTATTATTAAGTCCTAATAATTGTATAAATCCCAAACGCTGATATAACTATTGAATAAATTTATACAGAATCATCTTTTTCAAGCATTGTAGGATTAACATGTAAAGCAGTTGTTATGTGAATGAAGAAACTTAAATAAGGGAAAAAATAGTGATATTTTGTTTGAACTTCTTAGTATTTTTAAAAAGTGTGACTCACTGAACTAGAAGATACAAAAAAACTTCACAGTAATTTATCACAGAGATTTTGTTTGAGAGGTTTTTTCATAACTCATGTAGTTATTTAGAGTAATAATAATATAATAATGAAATAATAACCTAGTAACTGGAGGCCATCATTGAATAGTCCTGAATATTTATTTAATTTTCACTGTTCCTCATCCATAAAGAGCACCTGAAATGTAAAGAGAACTTATATGACTTCTGAAACTCAACACCATACCATTCAATATCACATTCACACTTCTTGATACTCTATCATTTGAATGGTAAACGAAGAAACGTAACAATGATTGACACGTCAAAGATGATGACTGAACAGTATTCTGATAGCTGGTGTTGATTAGAGCGAGAGGAATCTAATGAAAGTAGTCAATTTATTCGAGTAATTTATTTATCTGTATTAACTATCAGATTTTAAGCATCAATCTACATCGCAAAAATTTCGAACTTATAAACAACTCCTGAAGTCCAATTAAAAAAAAACACGAAGTACAATTTCTTATTTCCTTTGTCCAAAAATATAATAACATACATCAGTAATAAAATGAAAATTGGTGTTACAACGAGAACAACAGTTAATCTGGTACTTAACATTCGTCAAAATGACACTTTCAAAAGTTAAAATCAAACATCCTAGTGTAATGTAAAACATTCTTAAGATGCATGAATGAATGATTCCTGAGTACAAACATTGAAACCGATTCTTCAAATTTTATTGTCTACCTTGATCTAATTACTGATATCATGAATTCTAAAATGTTCACATTACAAATAATGAAAAAAAAGAAAATTTCCGATTTACCATTGAACATTTTCTCAATAGATTTCTTTTTTACTGTAGACTTTTGTTGCTTAACTATATTCGAATGATTAGTTAAAACTATTGGATAGCGTACAAATTCAGCTGGATTATTGGTGATGGTAGAAATAATAGAGGTAGTTGTAGTATTCCATTTAGATTGTTTCTGTTTTTCTGAACAAACTGAATCTATTTCAGAACTTATCGTATCTGTTGAATTATTAATAGTTTGTGATTTATTTGATAAGATGTATTGATTTTTTTCAGTTAATTTTAATTGTTTATTTTTATTTTTTGAATGAATTAATGTGGCTTTTTCATTATTCGCTTTCATACGTAATAAATAACATTCATCTTTTAATTGAGCTAATTTTTCTAAATTATCTAAACCAAGCTGATATTCGTTTTCTAATAATCTAACATCTTCACTCTGAAATGATATAATTGAATTCAATAACGTATTGAGTAGATTGAAGTGTTAATAAAATATATTGAAACGAAATTTGGCAGTTAATAATATATAAAGAAAATAAATTGATTTCACGTTGATTTTTCTATCGTTCTATTTGTTTATTTCAATTGTATCAACCTCATTTGATTTATATTGCCGTTTATTTTCTTTCTTGATGGTGTAACTCATATTCTGTTAGGTACATGTGATTTATAATCATATAATTAGTGTAAAACGAGTAAGTTGAAACTGTTCTTCAATTGTAGGCTTTAACATTAGTTCGTCCAATTCGATTCAGTTGACCAGACAATATTGATATTTGCTATGAAAAGCATAAACCTTGTAGTCAGGTTTATATTACCCTAGACTTAGTTACTAAGTATTTCGTGTTATAAAAGGTTTCTGTTACATTTTTTTATGTGGCAATCCTTCAGAAACTTGACAAAATCATTTCGTCTAAAAAGTGTGGATGAATGTTGACTCAAAAGAAGAAATTATTACTTTCTTTGAAATTGAATATCTTACACACATATATTTTTTATAAGAATGTACTACTTAAAAAGGTCAAATTGGATTTTGTAAAATATGTGTATAGTGTCGTTTACAGTTACGAATATCTGAATAGAATTTCTAATTGTGATAAGGTATTTCATGAAATCTAACTAAAATGAGCTTACAGTGAAGATCCAGTATAATAATTCATTATTTCAATATGATCAGGAAGAAAAATACTGCCTAACTGATCTAATTGTTTCAAGTATAAAATATAGTTACATAGGTTATGTCATTCTACTCATTCTGATAGGAATATCATCTATCGTACGGTTATTTTTTAATTTTTTTATTAAAATAAAATTCAAATGTAAAAATACAAATTTTGATATCTAACCAAAACAGTCTATGTCACTTTGATTTTACAACTAATAAAATTAGAAATATGCGCAGCAGCCAATAAACAAATTATTACAGGCAACAAAATATTTGTTCTTGAACACATGAGTACACATTTTCAAAACAAGTTAACCAATCACTTTTAAAATTTTCTAATCATGCCCAAAACATTTTCATCAATAGGGGTCAGGAAACACAATAACTGTGCAATAAATGTCGACTGTTATGACCAGTGATACGTATTTGTAATCAATATCAGCAATGTTTGGTGTTCATTTTCAAACGTTTATCGACTTAAAGTTTGAACACTGTTGACATTGATTACAAACACGTAGCACTATTCAAAACAATGATCTCATCATCTGAAAGTTGACTCTCTGATTCGTGGTGATAGCTTTATCTAACTAATTCATTTCGTTATAATTTTCACATGGATTGAAAAGTACACAAATAATCTTTGTAGCCTTCCTTCGAGGTACTGACAAACTAAAACAATTCAACACAGCTCTCAACAACAGGTTACAAGCCTTACAGGGTCTATTCAAAGAAGAGCAAAATACTATGAAGGACAACTGGAAACGGATCAAAGAACCACTATCTTCAACGTGTCAGGAGGTGCCAGGCCATAAGAAGCATCATCATAAAGAATGGATCGCCATGGAAACCCCGCACATGATTCAAGAAAGGAAGAACAAGAAGACAGCAATTAACAACAGCCAAACAGGAACAGAGAAAGTCAATGCACAAGCTCAGCATACAAAAGCAAACAAGAGAGTGAAGAGGAGCATTAGAGCAGACGAGCAGAAATATGTGGGAGACCTAACAACGACAGCGGAAAAAATTGCAATAGAAGAAAATATGAGACAGCTATATCACACAACGAAGAAACTGACGGAGAATTATATCAAACCAGAAACACCAGTCAAGAACAAAGAAGGCAGATCAAGCACTGAGAATCAAGAACAGCAGGATAGTTGGGTAGAACAATTGGAAGAACCCTTGAATAGACCATACCCACCAGATTTCAAAGCAGCACCTACAAACCTTCCTATAGGCGTCACTCCACCAACGACAAAATAAATCAGGATGGCCAACAAACAAATCTAGAGTGGGATGGGACATACATTATGGAAATCATCAGACTTCGTCACAAGGCACTCCGTAACTTGGAATCTTGAAGGGAAACGAAAAAGAGGAGGGCTGAAGGACACATTGCGTCGGGAACTGGAAGCAGAAATCAGACAGATAAGAAGAAACTTGAAACAACTGGAGAGAATCGCACAGGACAGGGTTATATGGTGAATGCTTGTGTGTGGCCTATGCTCCTCCATGAGGGGTAACAGGCGTGAGTATGTAAGCAAGCAATAGTCAGTTCATAATGAATTATCATTCGAAAGATCACATGATGTAAACACGTATACTTAATTACTTTACTACTGAATGGAGGAAACTTACGGTTTTTAGTAGTAAAATAAAACGTGAAATTAGATTGTTAGCGGGACATAGACTAGATTAAAGCATGCTCAATGCATGATTGCTTTGGTGCACGCTGATTGGCTAATTCTTATCCAATCAGCACTAGTCGATAGTTGGATAATACTCTGGAACCTTCTTATGTAAAAACGATAAATATACTGACGTTTTCCCTATTGTGCTTCTGACTTGCTTCTTGCTTCCATCTAACCTTGTTATTTGGAATATAATCTCCTTCCTGTTCAACCGTGTTCTGATTTGGGGACTTGTCGAGTGAATCGGTATCCGAGAATACTAAGCAATAGGAATAGCTGGGTCATAACCGTAAGAAGAGAGATTATAACATAGATACAATTATTTTTTAAGTTATTATGACACATATATCAATTTCGAATTTTTTTATGACGCGTCCATATTGGTCAATTATTTAATACATCATGAGGCTCATAATTAAGCATGACAACACGTCGAACTAGTAATTAAGATTTTCACAATTATTATAGTATATAATAGGCGTTATTAATATTGGTTAATCAATTAACTGACAAACATCATTCATACCTCCCATTGTTTTGGTTTATTTATATTATTTGGAAATTCATTATAATAATGAAAACGTCCACCACTTTCTTGAGCTAGTCGAATCAGAAATTCGTTTGCTTCAGGATCATTACAGTTAAAACTGATTGTGTGTATAGGTACACGATTATTCAATTGCATACTAAGTAGAAGAGTATGCGTTTGTTGATCTGGTCGACCATCTGTTAATAAATAAATTCCTTCAGTTAAATTATCTTCCAAAGCGAATTGAAGTGCTTTTAATGTATTTGTCGTACCACCACATGTTAATTTTTCAATCCATTTTATTGCAGACTGATTTGGATTAAAGAAACGACAATATAAAATGCAACAGTAGAATGACAGATTAATGGGAGAAAAAGAAAAAACAATATGCATACCGGAAAATGAATCAGATTACGGGATGAATAAAAGACCATTTATAGTTAAACGTTCGATTTGAAGGATCTTAAAAGGAAATAAGAATAAAATTAATCGTGACATACTATAGCACCTTACCTACATTTAAGTCTGTTTGCGTTTGGTTTTGTTAAGCCCTTCAATTAACTTACCTAACAGACAGTGTCATTCGAACAATAATATTCGGTGTATCTTTGCATTATGATTATCTCTGCATACTCAACTATATGTTATAACCTACACATATCTCTTTTACTGTCTAAACTATTAATTGGTTAAATCGCTTTCCTATATACGTGCTTGAATCTTATAAATTCATACGACCCTCAATTTGCCTCTGCATTTCCTCACTGAAATTTATATACTATTGGGATATATTTAGGAACGGTTATCAGACCGGTTGATATATGAAGCTTTGAAAATTATCTAGGAAATAATCCACTATAATAGAATCCGCTTGCGGACGATATGTTATTGAAAAGAAATTACATCAAGAAAAATTAAAACCAACTAAAATAAAATGCGGTTTATGAACCATAAGTGATTATTGCTACTCAAAAAATAGCTCAAATCAACAGAACTCTGAATATATTAGTCAAAGATAGGAGATCAATGAACAAAATCAATCGTAAAATGACTTCAGTGAATTAAATATCATATACTCTCTCGATTTCAAATCGACGAGAGACTGTTCATCCGAGATATCATTTTAGGATAAATTTTGTCGGGTCAGAAACTCTAACACAAACGTCCTCTAAAAGCTTCTGTAAGTAACTGAAATATATTTGGAAATCGTTTGATCGCTACATCAAATTTTAACTTAGTATTTGGTAAATACCAAATAAATTCAGTTAATGAACAATTAAATAACAGCATATTTTGTATTACAGCTCTTTACACTTTCTTGGGATTGTAACTGGTTAAAGGTACCAAATAGCGAGTAATCAACAGAAAAAACCGACTGTCAGATCAAATCCAATGTTCTTGTCTGATGGGTTTTATAACAGTGTTTTTAAAATATTTGAAATTAGTCACGCAGACAAGCAGATAAAAGTGGTCTTACTGAAGCCATCTATATCTAAATTATGTTTATATATTTAAAGACTGTAGTTCTGTAATCAAACAAACTGAAATATTGTGTACATTAATTTAAATGATAACTCGTTACCATCGAGTAACAACAAGTTGATAAACGTTAATTTTGGCGACGAAGAATGAAATGAATAAAATCAAACAATAAAATTTCATAAACATAAAGAATAACTAATCCATACTAATCAAATAGGCAGTTACGTTGACAATGATCTAATGAAATCAGATAGAGATTGTGTTTCCAGATTATCTGAAAAAAAGTTGAAATCACTGCAAAACTTACATCGTGAAAAATACAAAAAAATTATTCTGTCTGTCTTTGAGGAAAAATGACTCTCCTTAAAACTTTATTAGAAGTTTTCTCTTATGATATAGATCCTTTTATCAAGTGGATAGGGAAATTACGAGATCCAGCAATTCGTCTAACCAGTATATTGAAGGATATTAATAAAATCAGCAGAAGAGGTTCAGAATCATGTTGATGATATATTTAAAAATATGGGTTTCAAACTACATTTCTTTTGATTATAGAACTCTAATTGGTCATGTGAAAAGTAATCTACTGTCGATTTTAAACCACGACTGACTTTTAGTTGATAGAATAAAATAAATATGAAACAGTTCAAAACAGTATATATTAAAACAACACGAAAGGTAAATTCAAATGTAGAACAGAAAGATATTATTGAAACGGAAAGCAATAAAAAACTAGAAATACTTTGACATAAACTATAACTATTAAAATGTTCAGAATCTAAGCGAAAACCGTATGTCAAAACGATCATTAAATTTTGTTGAATATCTACATATAAATCTTTAATTTATATAATCTGTTTACTAAAATGGAATAATAAATACCAGGACAAACTCTACATCCTACATGGGACTAATTAGCTATTCACATTGTGACTAGAACAAAAGTACCTTTTGCTCCAAACGCTAAAGCTTTGTTCATTGAGCTACTAAGTTCAGACAGATTTGTTAGCTTGTTCAATGAGTATGAATATCATTTGTAAAGCCCTGCATTTTTCATTTATCTATGTTATAATCTATAAATGAAGCCAATATAGACTGGTCACTTACAGACTGTAACATCAACAAATTTGAAATACGAACCTTTACAAATAATGTTTTTTTATTATTTCACATTAAAATATATAAACTAAATGAAGCCTACCTTTAAATTACATTCAGTTGTACTTTGTAAATGATTATGCCATGCATTAACATTTGAATTGAATGAAATAAAATTAAGACGATTTTTAAATTTCAACTGTTCATAAATTAATTGTAACAATTTTTCTTTAACAAATTTTATACAAGATAACATTGATGTACTGGTATCAATTAAAATATATACCTAATTTATAATAATAAAAAATACAAAAAAATGAATTAATAATTGTTGTTAATGGCATCATACTATCAAATTTAGAAGAATAGTAGACTTGCATTTTTATTTATGACAAGTTTTGTCAACAAATTTCTATGATTTGTATGAAAAGGAATTTCCATCATTGATATTAGTTCAGTTATCAATTAGTCGGTCATAAATAATTTAGAGCCTGTTTCATTTATACTTTAGCTCAAGTTGTCACATTAGTACACAAGCATGAAGACAATAACAAATATATTCGAGGAATAAAGTGTATGAAATAATATGAAATCTTGGAATTTGGTATGAAATAAAGTGGGAGAGTGACCGATTTTCAGTCTTGTTTTCAACCGTTGATATCAATTATCCCTCGTACTCTAGCAAAATAGTTTCCATCGCCTAAAATGGTTCAGACTAAAACTCAATCACTTCGTTAAACGATGCCATGCGTTGATTTGACCGTTTCCATCTTTGTTTAAACCTACTTCAGCCAGCAATGCGCATTGACGTAGACAACATTTAGATATAAATTCATTGTGAATGGTAAAATACCTACTTTTCAGAACTGAAAATACAATTTATCTCATATAAGTTGAACAATTTATTTGCAACCAACAATAGTCTTGCTATTTCAATTTTACGCCTATCAACTCTAACCAACAAGGTTACTTACTTACGCCTGTTACCCTTCATGAAGGAGCACAAGTCACTCACCAACACTCTCCATTCAAATATGTCCTGTGCAATCCTTCCCAGTTCTTCCCACTTGCTATTCATCATTTTCATATCTGATTCCAACTTCCAACGCAGTGTGTTCTTCGGCCCTCCACTTTTCCGTTTCACTTCAAGATTCCAAGTTGGGGCTTGCCTCGTGATGCCTATTCACTTCCAACGTCTTTTCCTAATTTCCTCTTCAACTGGAAGTTGGTTTGTTCTCTCCCATGGTTGGTTGTTGCACATGGTATCCGGCCAACAGATATTGAGAATCTTGCGTAGACAATTGTTTACGTCTTTGATGATTGTTGTAGTAGTTCTCTTATCTCCAGCTCCGTACAGTAGAACTGTCTTGACGTTAGTAATGAATACTGTGATTTTGATGATCGCTCACAGTTGTTTCGAGTTTCATATGTTCTTCAATTTTGCGGATGCTGTTTTGCTTTACTAATCCTCGCCTTTACATCTGCATCGAATCCTCCTTGCTTATCAACGATGCTACCCAGGTACGTGAAAGTTTCCACATCACCAACAAGACGTATCAGTAAATGAGAATGTAGCTTTGATATTACTGAGACAATAAAAGCTGCTTATCAGTATGAAGTTTATATAATTCAAGGAATTCAGATTTATTATACAACAAATTATAAAATAATATTGATAATATGTTGAATTGAATGTAAATGCACATCAGTTCATCTAACTGATTTAACAACAATACGAGCTTACATTATCTTCTGTTATGGTTCCAAATAATTCCCTTGAACCTTGTCTTAATAGATCTAAACGATGTTTAATAGCATTTAATCTAGAATGCATACGTTGAGAGTATGAACGATACATTTCAGGTGTAATTTGCACATGAACTATATTACCGTTTTTCCATCGAACATGTACAAAATTGCTACAATATTGAGCATTGATCAACTTTGGTTGAATAATCTTCAAAATGCGCATAAGTTTTGTAAAGTATAAGGAAAAACAAAGAATAATTTACTATATTGAAAAATTATGGTATTTAGCCACATAAGGCATTTTTAATAAAATGGTAACTAATGTTATGAGAGAATTATTTGTACTGATCAGTGTCTAGCGATACAACTATCACGTTAAGTAACTCGGTGTTATAATATGCCATGACTGTGATTATATGAACAATAAAAATCATTTGTAAGGTTCATATTAACAAATGATGAATATTAAGAAAGCCGAACATAAATTCATTGTTTTTGACCCGAATATTAGTATCATCAAAGTAAAAAAAAGCTCTGTCGATAGAATTTGTAACAAATTAGTGGGCATATAATGTACGAACACAAATCTACCGGCATCATCGCAACTACCTCCAACTGTCTAACAGCTCTTTATTTAATCATGATTCTTTAAACTTGAGGCCATTCTACACCATCTCTTCTTCGATTTCATTAGTTTTTTTCCGATTTTTTTCCCCACATTATTATGACTTATTCTCTCTCTCTAGATATTTAATCTGTAGCAACTTGAGCTAATACATACTTGTGTCCGATTTTAAGTCGTTTGAAAACATCTTTCTGTCAGCCAAAATAAATCGTAATTAAGTATCACAAAATAAGGTTATGATACAGTGTTAATAATAAAATTAATAAGACTATTGGAACATTGAGAATCATAGCTCACTTGTTAAAATGTAAGGATATATTACTTTAAACCTAACATTTAGTCAATTAATCATAGAAACCTATTTTTTAACGCAGAATTCAAGAATGGCATATTAATTTTATTCGTAACATATGTACAGTATACTGCACATAATTTAAACCGTGTAATAATAATCGTTATTAGCATTTACGATGGATGATAAATAATATCAATACGAGGAACCACATTTTACCATACGAGTGGTACATTACATGAGGTAATGAAATAATTGTATGTGACTAAAACTGTGACTAAAATTAATTCATTAACAATAGGTTATATTATTATGACGTACTGCACTTGAAGACCATATTTGTGAAGAATCATTCGAATTTGGTTCCGAATGATTGGATTTTCCAAAATCATCATAAATCTTATTGCATTCTCTTTCCATTGCATCATTGTTACTAACATTTAATGGGGGCTTCAAAACATTTACAACTCCATCACAGTGTTTAAATGAAACACTAACTAATAAATCATAGAAATCCAAATGTTGAGCTTTTAAACCATAAATACTTAACCATTCTTTTGATGACATATACTCTTCACGTTTCCAGCCGAATTCACAACTACTTGTTATAGGTGCAGGTTGACTACACTCAGAATTAGAGTCTGAAAAATGACAATATAAAATAAAATAGATCTTTATAATTAAAAATTGCAATCACTGCCATTCATATTGATCAAATAGTCGATTACTTGTTGATGATAATGTGAGACTGAAACTGTTATGTTCAAAGTTACAAATTGGTGGGTTAAAGTAATTTTATTAGCTTTAGACTTATCTTCTTTAAATTATAGCACATATTTAAGTTACAGGATATTTAAAAATAGTGTTAGGAAGATGAAGTTAGGGGGTAAGTTTGGAATGGTTAGTGTGTACTCACGTAAACATTAGTCTTGTGTAAATGGAGCTCTTCAACTAACTATTCAAATAAACTGTGTCTGAACAAATATGATCTAAAAGTGATTGGTCAGTTATGCATTTCAGTTATTTCTATCTCTATATTTGAACCTATACGAAAACTCATCATTTTGAGTTACCACAACTAACACAACAACAAAGTAGAAGAAAGTCTAGCAATAGAAAAGTGAACTAGAATAACATTGATTAGAATATAATTAACACATTCCTAGGAACCTACAGCTGAAAGGAAGTAAAGCCTTCACAGGTCAAGAGAATTAGGAATATTGAATATGGAATGAATGTAAGTAATGGATTTAAACTTATTCATAGATAAAAACACCAATCTTACTCCATTATGTAGAGACAACGCCATCAGAAGTTTCCAACTTGACATGTGCATACAGAAGGGAAGTGTAATGAACTTTTCTCTAATATGTTGATTTTATGTTGAACAAATAACTTTAATTACATCCAGATGACAAACTCTAAATAGGGCGAAACGCGAGTCCTAGATTCCACTGCTAGCCTCCACCCATCTTTGCTTATAATATTTGTGACTTAACAGGAATGTAGACGCAATTCGCATAGGTTTCACATATGCCAAAAAGAGACTGACTAATTGCTGTCCTAAACATAAATGGGGAGGTACAAACAACCAATACAAGTACAAACCATTGATTTTTTTAAACCCTCTTACCCATGTTTTTCGTCTTCTGACATTTGTCTCTTTCATAATCTTATTGATCTTCACATATTTGCTTGGTCTATCATATTGAGTGATTACTTGATCTCTTATTAATTTTTTTTCTCTTACACAACTTCGTATATCATGATTGTGGCTACTGGTAGCCTGTTGTAATCCACATTGTTACTTTCTAACATATAAGTACACGTCGGTCTTAATTATGCTTGTTCATACAGTTTGTTACCCTATTCTTCTTATTATTATGATTTCGGTTACATTTCGAATATTTATCTAAACTTCACAAACTGATGATTTGTAAATAATTATGTCCATAATTATAATTTCAGGTTGCACACAACCGATGAAAAACCATGAAATAGAATGAATTCATTTTATACTGCAAACCTTGTTCTTGCTTTTTTAAATAAAATGAACATATTCAAGTAAAAATAGAGAAAATCATTTCCTTTGTGATGAATTCATTCGCCAATGTAGTATAGTAGTTACAGTATTTGTAGTTATTCAAAATCTATTAGTCCGTTGAAAAACACAGAGATATGGTGTCATGATATGTTTGAAAACTCAAAATATCAAGAGGTTATGTAATGATCCAACGGTTAATCGAAAGTAGTAAACTGGACATAGCCCTAATGTAATTGTCTTGCTAGATGTATAATTAAAACAGATATATAAGTGATCGATATTATTTCCAGTATAAATTATTCCTAGGCTCTATAGTTATAATTTAGAACTAAAGGTCGAAGTGAATGGCCTAGTTTGGGATAAGTACACACCTAAAAATAATAGCCTACGAATTTAAAACTGTTTGATGGACATTAGATCACTGTACTACGTTCACTCATTTATAACAAGATTTTTTAAATTATTGATTTGCAACAACTTGCAAACCATATTTTGGAGTATGAGTCAACGTAAGAATAAGACCAGTCGTCAATGCCCTCATAAACAGGGTGTCACGTGTTAAACCAATCACTTTTATTCAGTATTTTAACCAGTTGTTACTTTGAATAATATAGTAAAGATTAGAGAATAAAGTAAGTATGTAATATATGATATAGTCACTTTAAATGGTTGAAGTTTGCAACCCTACCTTCTGATCTATCGACTTTCCAAACATTTAAAACTGAAACCAGAATATTGTTTGACCGATATTCCCATCAACTCCGCCTGTAGCTCTTCTGCAATTACTACTGGTTCAAAGCCCGAGTAAAGGAGAAATGGGCATGGGGTCAGCAACCCCATCCCGTAGAAAAATATCTTGCTATAATCGTCAACCAAGATAAACAAATTAAATCATTTAAAATCTGCCCTGGGAATTGAAGGAAGAATTATGACGCCTCACGTTGAAAGCCGAGATTCTTCGGAAGTCATGAGGCTGATGTCCCATTTAACAACAACAATCAATGTAGCTACATGGAATGTACGAACAATATGGGAGACCGGGAGGAACAATCAAATAGCTACGAAAATAAGGAAATAAAACATGGTGGTGCTCGGAATAGACGAAAACCATTAGACCCTAGCTGGAAGGCAAAGGTTAAGTACGGGAGAGATGCTGCTGTACTCCAGTCACAAAGAGGAAAATAATCCGCACACTCAGGGAGTTGCTGTATTGCTGTTCAAAGAAGCATGCACCTATAGGATGGGAATATTACGGATCTAGAATCATCAAAGCATCATTCAAAACAAAGAAGGAGGGAATCACAATGCATGTTATCCAATGTTATGCACTCACCAACGACGACAATGAGGACCAGCTACACAAGAGGCTGCAATCAATCATAGCGAAGTGCCCACGATAGGATCTCACCATCCTGATGATATACCTAAACGCCAAAGTCGGGATGGACAACACCGGATATGCAGATGTCGTGAGATGACATGGACTGGGAGTGAGAAGCGAAAATAGAAAGAGATATGCAGACATGTGCGCATTCAACAAATTGGTTATAGGTGGCACAATATTTCTACACAAACGCACGCACAAGGATACATGGGTAGCATCGAACCACACTACAGAGAACCAGGTCGATCGTATATGCATTACTAGAAAAGTCGGCTTCAGATCACAACCTCGTTGCGGCCAAGATGAAACTGAAGCTAAAGAAACACTGAACTGCTAGGGAAACAGCATTACAAAGATTACATACAGACTTCCTTCGACATACTGACAAACTAAAACAATTCAACACAGCTCTCAACAACAGGTTACAAGCCTTACAGGGTCTATTCAAAGAAGAGCAAAATACTATGAAGGACAACTGGAAACGGATCAAAGAACCACTATCTTCAACGTGTCAGGAGGTGCCAGGCCATAAGAAGCATCATCATAAAGAATGGATCTCCATGGAAACCCCGCACATGATTCAAGGAAGGAAGAACAAGAAGACAGCAATTAACAACAGCCAAACAGGAACAGAGAAAGTCAATGCACAAGCTCAGCATACAAAAGCAAACAAGAGAGTGAAGAGGAGCATTAGAGCAGACGAGCAGAAATATGTGGGAGACCTAACAACGACAGCGGAAAAAATTGCAATAGAAGAAAATATGAGACAGCTATATCACACAACGAAGAAGCTGACGGAGAATTATATCAAACCAGAAACACCAGTCAAGAACAAAGAAGGCAGATCAAGCACTGAGAATCAAGAACAGCAGGATAGTTGGGTAGAACGATTGGAAGAACCCTTGAATGGACCAGCTTCACTGAGTCCACCGGATATCAAAGTAGTACCTATAGACCTGTTATAACTGAAAAATATTTGCTGATAATTAAGGGATAGCGAATTATTGATCGGACCAAAGACGCGCAAACACGTAGAACGACCTAGGGTTCTGATTGGTCTCGCTTCCCTGTATAGCCCAGCCAATTGAGTCCAGAACAAAAGTCACAGCCTCGGATATATGAATCATCATATTTCAAACATACCTTGTTTATATACCAAGCAAACAAACCACATCGTACCACAAAGTAGAAAATAACATTGTACAATATTGGCCAACAGGAAAATAACACGTTAAATAAATATCGACCAATGGGAAATGTACATTTAAGGTCCAAGGACACCATTGGACTTAACATGATAATTTTTGGGATATTTTCCTGAATATCCCAACAAGCCCTTCCAAAAGATGTCACTCCACCAAAGATAGAATAAATCAGGATGGTCATCGGACAAATCAAGAGCAGGAAAGTGGCAGGACCTGACAATATACCAGCCAAAACACTGAAGTCAGACATCGAAGTAACTACAAGTATGCTTCACGTTCTGTTCGGGAAGATTTGGGAGGAAGAACAAGTGCCGACAGACTGGAAAGGATGACACCTCACCAAAGTAACAAAGAAAGAAGATCTGAGCAAATGCAAGAACTACAGAGGCATCACACTGCTGTCAGTACTAGGGAAATTTTTCAACAGTGTTGCTGAGCTGGTCGAAAGACTCAGTAGACACCCAACTTCGAGATCAACAGGCTTGATTTCGTAAGGACCCGTCGTGCACAGACCAAATTGCGACACTACAGATAATCGGTGAACAACCAGTTGAATGGGACTCGTCACTATACAGCCACTTTATTGACTATGAGAAGTCGTTTGACAGTGTGAATAGGAGGAACTTATGAAAACGTGTTCGACAATATGGTGTACCTAAGAAGATCATCAACATCGACCGGACTTCATACAACCGACTATAGTGCAAAGTCGAGAGTGGGGGACAGTTGGAACATCCATTCCAAGTAAGGACCGGAGTTAGACAAGGCTGCCTACTCTCTCCCTTTGTTTTTCTTCTGGTGGTCGACTGGATTATGAAGACCTCGACATCTAAGGAGTAACACGGAATATAATGGACAGCTCAAAATCAATTAGAAGATCTGGACTTCGCAGATGACCTGGCCCTTCCATACCATACACACGAACGATTGCCTCTGCATCAGCAAGCCTCAACATACACAAAGGAAAAAGCATGATAGTCAAGTACTACACGAAGAACACCAACCTAGTCACACATGATGGGAAAGCTCTGGAAATTGCGGAATCTTTCACGTACCTGGGTAGCATCGTTGATAAGCAAGGAGGATTCGATGCAGATGTAAAGGCGAGGATTAGTAAAGCAAAACAGCATCCGCAAAATTGAAGAACATATGAAACTCGAAACAACTGTGAGCGATCATCAAAATCACAGTATTCATTACTAACGTCAAGACAGTTCTACTGTACGGAGCTGGAGATAAGAGAACTACTACAACAATCATCAAAGACGTAAACAATTGTCTACGCAAGATTCTCAATATCTGTTGGCCGGATACCATGTGCAACAACCAACCATGGGAGAGAACAAACCAACTTCCAGTTGAAGAGGAAATTAGGAAAAGACGTTGGAAGTGAATAGGCATCACGAGGCAAGCCCCAACTTGGAATCTTGAAGTGAAACGGAAAAGTGGAGGGCCGAAGAACACACTGCGTTGGAAGTTGGAATCAGATATGAAAATGATGAATAGCAAGTGGGAAGAACTGGGAAGGATTGCACAGGACATATTTGAATGGAGAGTGTTGGTGAGTGACTTGTGCTCCTTCATGAAGGGTAACAGGCATAATTATATGAGTAAGATATTCCCATCACACGTGAGTATTTTCTGAAAACACGGTGAAGACGTTAGTATTACATTTTTGTTACGTTCGCTTTCAAAGCAGATATTCTATAGCACAGATTGGTGTTTAAAAAAATCAAGACTCTTTTTCACTTTATTTCGATTCTATTATTACTAGTGCTTTTAACTGAATTTTTCCAAAATGACAACATATTTAACAATCATGAAGTTTAGACACTATTTAACCAAACGTAGTCCATTTTGTGGTCAATATTGATTACCCAATTTGAAGCTAAACCTAAGTAACTAGATTACAAATAAAATACTTTTAATTCTAAATTAACTACAAGTTATCATTTACAATATCATCCATACCTTTGAGTACCTCATCAGGTATACGATCAACATCATGTAGTACTTCTTCGATACGTTGTAATAAAGATCGAGCTTCTTCTAACTCTTCAAATATTAATACACAATCTTCATGTTGACCCCAACCTTTAGGTGGACCACCACATTCAACTTTGTTAACACGAATTGTTTGTTGAAATTGTTCTACATCCCAACAGCTTGGTGAATATAATGGAATATGTGTATTGATGCAATAAGCATGAAATCTGTTTGAATATTTTTCAAAACAGAAGTCGAAAAGTTTAGAATGACTGTTGAATCTGTAAATCTGTTTCAAAACTCATTGGATTTAATAGATTAAATTTAAAAACTTGAATGTGTTATTTAGTGGATTACGTAATTAAATCATCAAAGAGAATAATATTTCAACCACCAAGTCCAGTGTTTGACATCGCGACAAATGAATTCACTGGGGTTAACCAGTTGAATTAGTCATCTAAGTTAATTAATTAAAACGAAAATATATGGGACCAAATGGATTACCTTCAGTTACCTCATTGTGATATGAGGGTCAAATAACTAGATTTAGCCAAGCCCCAAAGTATAATAATTATTTGCATTGGAAACTAGACTATTATCACCAAAAATTGCGTTCTACTTTACAAGAACTATTAACTGGTTTAAGTAGTGATGTATATCTGCTCCTGATGCCGCCAAATGAGAACGGCAAAACATTATTTCTGATCCGAAAACTATCTTACCTCAAAATACATTGTGCCGAACATTTAACAGCTGAATTTCATTGTATTGTGGAATTTTCATCTCATATTAGTAACTTGTATTATAATTTTGAATATAAAATTTCAGAACTTAATTATCAACTATGTCTAGCTAAAATAAAAACATCAATGTTACGGACTCAGAGTTCCTTCGAAAGTCACGAGGATGATTCCCCTTCTGACAACAAGAACAACCATTAATTTAGGCACATGAAATGCTAGTACAATGTGGGAGACCGAGAGAATCATAGAAATTGCTGCAGAAATGAAAATATATAACTTGGAGGTAATTGAAATCAGTGAAATACATTGGACGTAGGTTGGACAACAAAGACTAGCTTCAGGTGAACTGCTGTTATACTCCGGCCATGAAGAAGATAATGCTCTGCATACACAAGGAGTTGCACTGACGCTACCTTTTAGCTGGTCATCTTTTATATATTTTTCATGGTTTAAGCAGTACTTCTTATTTGTTTTATCATTTGACCTTCTTCTTGTGAGCTTATCTCCAAAACTTCGTTTATCTTTACCGGTTCGTCCATTTTGGAAACAAAGTGCCTAATTTGATTACGTTAATTGCAGTTATTCCCGATTGAAACAGTCTAGTGTCATTTTTATTTACGAGATGTCCTAGGGTTTTACAGTTTCTAGATTGTTTTGTTGATGGTTTTTTTATGCCTGGGTATCTCATGACTAGAGACTCGAGTTCATAATGTTTTCTATAAGGTACTTTGACGAATTTCATTTTTTGGTTCCGAGATTTCACGCGTAACTTGGTCTCTCAGAATTCCCGAATGAAGCCCATAACAACAATTCAGCACGTGATAATTAAAACATACATATTTCAAAACTTGTCCAGTCGCAAAAATTATTGCCTGTTACATGTTTCTCCCTACTTTGTTTTGAAAGTTAAATAATTATATCCTAATTATTTGTCCTACCGACTGTAAATTAGGGAGCAGTTGGACATATATCTCTAGAGCATTCGAGGTAATAAAGTGTTATTAAGTAAAAAGTCGAGAAAAAATTTTAATTGATAGTATAAAAAGAGTAATTCAATAAAATATTAATACAAATCCTAACTTTCATTGTTTTAGTTTTTGCGTTCCCATATTTACCTAATGAAAGCGTTCAAAAAATTCATATAATTCGTCCTTAGTTTCTCAAGGCCAAATTAACTATTTACTATTTAAATAGAATGAAATTCCACCACTGAATCTTGGATGTCTTAATATTCTATGTTTATCTACTACTTTTTCAATAACGCTTGTTTTATTGTTCATTTTAATAAGTTCTTCTCCACATTTACTTTATTTTGTAGCGTCAAACGGATTAATATTTGTGAACAGTACTAATTTTATAATTGTTTGTTTATTGAGAAGACATTATTTTTTTTCACTTTCCAGTTTCACGCACTTTTTTATGAATAAAAATCAACATATACACAACGTAGTATTCAAATATTAAGCATTTGTTTGCTTGATCTCATGTGATTGCAGTACAGTTTCCTAAAGACTGAATCCAGCATGAATGAGTTAGTGAAGATTAAGTACTTGGAGTGTCATTCCCATAACTTTTTAAAACGTTTTATCAATTAAAATATATAATTTAAAGTAAACAAAAGTCTTAAGATGTCGTTTCCACCTACCACTTTTATGAAGAGTCTTTCTAATTTTAGCTTGTTTCTTTTTTGTCTAATCAGAGACAAGAAAACTCAACTTTCACTAGCCCTTCCAAATAACTAAAAAAGACTGATTCAATCAAATGGTGTAGTGAATACTCTAATGATACATAGAATGGCGTTGTTAGCTCTCAGCCAGTCAACAAGTCAGCCGTATAAAGGAAGTATATAAGTTGATTCAAGTTGTTACACCTCATTGAAAAAACTAGACAAAATTGTCAAGATAAATCCCAGAGTAAAAGAGATAGCAACAGTACTAGTGACAGTGAAAGAGAGTAGGCAGAGAAGATATGATTAGAGGAAATAAGGATTTCGTGGAATATAAAAGATTTACGCAGAAATTGAGAAAGGTATGATCTAAATGAAGGCAAATAGTAAATGCACCTACGCGAATGCGAACGATTCGTAGCTGTGTCACCCAAATTCTTTAACCAGTGGTTGCAATAATTATGTCGACCCCAACCAGGTAGTCTGCATGCAACTACACAGCTCAGCTCCTAGATTTCTTGAAATCTACTCCCACACCAGTCACAGATAACCGATGAACAGGTATTAGTAATATATAACCCATCTCTGATAATATCTGTCATATGAGTCGAGTTAATCAGTTCAACAGGTTATAGCGTTTATTGTTAAAACTGAAAGGTGATCTAATTTCAATTTATGAGGCATGGATGAATTAGTCCGAATTTCTACAATAGAACCAAGTAATTATTTGATGTTAATTTGTATATACCGATGATTACAACTGCATCAAAACAGACTGGAGGTAGGAAAAATATGAATATTCTAAAATTTAATTAATTTTAATTTATATCTTACCGTCCACCAGTATAAGTGCATAAATTGTGCAAATAGTCTATTGTTTTCATATCTTCACAACAATAAGATACAATATGAAGTGGATGTTTCATATTTTTGACAATATTTTCAAGTAGTTGCGGTGACGTCATTGTTGATTCACCTTCAGTGATTAAATACACTGATTCGAAACTCTATATGTTTGGAAATAATCACAGTAATAATCTTCAAATTCAACGTAGTATTTATTATTTTTGAGGTAAGATAAATTGATTTCGGTTTATGCTCTCACACGAACAAACGAAATAAAATAAAGGGTGTATTTCATTTGCAAGACATGTATGACATATATTTATACTGAATTATCTACATTTACTAAATTGTGGTAAAATTATTGATCCAGATGGTGGGCCCTGAACTTTTACATTATGAGCTACAATCCATAATGCCTACTTTAAACTTATTTTTTAGAGGGACATAAATAACCACAAGATAATAAAACTGGCTTATAGTTTAGAAAGTGAATAAGAAAGTATTCAGTTCAAATTTATTCTCTCAGCACTATTTTTCTAAATTTGGATGTGAAATGACGAAAAATATTAGCAAAGGAGGTAGATGCTTTTGTTGTTGCGTTCTATGAATTAAACGACTTAATCAGCTAGTAGTAGAGTGACATGGAAATAACTCTGCGACCCATACGGAATAGGTTAAATAGTTATAAAGCTAGGGGTTAACCAAAAGACGGACAACATTAATTCAAGAACAGCTGAAGGTAAAAATGACCTACACAGAAAGTCAACTGCAAATAAGGTCATCTGAACGAACCAGTGTAAAACTTGCTAAGTGACTAAAAAGCATATTTCTGTATAAATATTAACTAATAACGTTGTCCAGAACAACAACCAAAGCTCCATAGTAAAATCTCCTAGTATAGAAAACAAAGCACAATCAAAAACGCTTTCATTCATATAAAAAGCCACTGTCAACTCTTGATATGTATGCAAGATTCTGTACTGAATTGTTTAACTAGCATGTGTCTTATTGCAGTTAGTTTTTGTAATTGTCTTCTTGTTCCATATTATACCGTAAATCTCAATATTTCTACTTGATAACTTTTCATAGACTATTGGCATTCTTTGTATTGCTATGACAGCAAACTATAAACTTTAAGTATTAATTTTAAGCACATCACGGTGTGCTTAGAACAACCAGAAATATTCAAAAACGTCGTAACTATCAAATCAAAAACTTTATTCCTACTAATGTGTGGTATTTTAGTGGTAGATATCAACGGAACTCAAGGTCCTTAGTGATATTAGTTGGGTGCAAGATTTCATGATATCGTCCTGGTGCTCATAGTGAAATTCAAAACCCAACCCCTTCAGTTAAAAATTTGTGACTTTATCTAGCTGCACAGTGACTTTTGATATCCACCTCTTTGGCAGCAATTAACTAATACAAATAACTTCCTTCATGAATTTAAATAAAGCAATAACAACAGCCGATACTGAATAATATAATATTATTTTTATCTCAAAGTCCAGCATAAGCTACCTACAACCGTATTCATATTGAAGTATAATATTGTATTACGTAAGATATTGATAGCTAAAAAGATCGTAACGACAAAAACTATCAGTACTATAGGTATTTATGTACAAAAATAAGGCCAAATGAAGATAGATATCAAAAAAACTTTTGTAAGGAATCAATCATCCAGAAAGCGAAAATCCATGGGACGATTTGTGTAAAATTCAAAGAGTTTTGAAGAATTTATATAGGCTTGAGAAATGGGTGAGCAAAACTCGCAGACAAGTAGAGAGATCATTTTTAAGAACATGAAATGAGGAAGAAATGAACAAAGAAGCATAAACAATATTACTGATAATAATGAATGGTTTAATCAAAATTATCCAATCACGATGGCTGTGATAAGTTACAACGATGGAGAATATTTCCACTCCAAAGAAGTAGTGATAACTTGATAGCTTTTTAATTACCGATTTTGTTATTCGACTTTAGGTATATTTCAAAGTGAGTAGTTTTCCAAACAATTGATAAAAACAACTAAATAAAAGCAATTATGCATCATATTGTATGATGTAATGTCTTCACTTCAACAATTGATTTGCAAATTGTGGCTTAGGGCAGTTTTTAGAAGATAACCCATATCGATATCATTAAAGTAGTATTATATATCAGTGGAAGTTCATTTTAAGGACAGTACATTCGCCGGCTTTTTTAACGGATGCCCTGTAACTAGGCTTAATAAAAGAAGTATTGATTTATGGTGGCAGAACCATTACATAATTTAAAAGATAACTTATTGAAACTCCGTTATAAAAAATAGAACTATGTGGATCAACATTTGTTCTAGAGCCTATGAGTGTTTGGTACTGAGTTTCTATGTAGATCCAACTTCTACGATTGATAGTAACAGTGCAAAAACAGTTCATGTCCCTTTAGAAATTTTCGATCCTTACTCAAAATAATAATTTTTTCCTTTAAGCACTGCTTCATCCAGATCTAAGAAGATTATTTCGTCACCAGCCTTTGAAAACTACTTTAAAACTAAAAACATCAAGGAATAACTCGCCACTCACTAGTATGGAGTGCATTTGATCCTCTTGGTTTAAGACTTAGTCACAACTATTAGTTTAATCTGTTATCACAGCCGTTGGACCGATCTACGCTAAAATGGGTTAATACTGCGACTCGATTTTAAAACACTCGAACGTTTTCTAATTCCAGATACCTAAATTATCGATAGCAGGATTTTAGTGTATTACTGGTTATTAAGTAAACGACAAGGAGTGGAAAACATTCACAACTAAACGTAATTGACAAGTAGTTCTATAAAATGTTAGGAGATACTAATAACTACTACATAGTTTCATGCTATCAGTTCAAATACAAATAAATACGTATTTATTAAATATTATGGACGAGAGCATAATATTTAAAGACCTCGCGTGTCTGATAGGCTTCCATGATTAACGGTGACAGCATATCGAACGAAAGTAATCTGGCATGTTAGTTTGGTTGAAGAAGGTCCAGTTTAAAATTCGCCGATAGATCTTACCTGATATTGTAAAATTCGACTTTGAGACTTTCTGTGTTAAATTACTTCTCTCGCCAAAAAAACTGACATCCTCTAATGCTTAGGATTTGTAATGTGTGTACTGGGGCATTGATAGTAATTCAGTTGGTGTTGTTACTCTGAAACACCTAATTCCGTATCTTGAACATGTTTCACGAGTATCAAGGGCTTCTTCCTCGCCCATTAGTTGCTAACGCCCTGATGGGATGCAAATAGCGAAAGAGTTAGTTTATGGCATCTTATCAGTTCATTTGTGACGTATGTTTGGTGTCTTGTCGTAGTATATTATATGTAATGTACATAAATGGATATCGACATTTTTTATCAGTCCTTCCCACCCCCAATACAAAAATCAATTTTGAATACGTACATTCCATGCCCTCAAATGCCTTGGTACGGCCGAGAGTGGGGAGAGTCCGCACTCCCTCTCGAAATACTCTCACACGGCCACGCGTATAAAGCCTCTGCCAGGGAAGTCCTACTCACTGCCTTCTCGTGACATAGGTGTTGTTTACGAAAATGAGAGGACGAAAAGCGAATGTCCAGCGCTTTACCCGGATCCCAAACCAATGGTGCACATGGGCTCCAGTATCCTGAGGGAACAAACGGCCTATGAACCAATCGTTGGTCACCGGCTACCATGGGACTGCATCTCCTCACGATGCTCCACTGCCTCGTGGGCTAGACCTTTAGGTCAAAGGCTCGGGGTATGGCCCCCTAAGAAAACCACCTGCTTAGGTCTGGGCACCCGGGCAGTATCGCAGCCCACACGCAAATGATGAACACTCTAGATCTATGGAAACTACTTTTCTCGCTTCGAATAACAATCAAGTGATTCAAATGATTATTATTATTATTATTATTTTTATTTACCACATTATTCACCCTCTTTTATACTTATACCGCGGCTCGTCTTTGTTGGAAATCCGACTGTATCTAAACGTTCTCGAGTCACAGTCCGCTTGAAAATTCTATGTTACCACTGAATATGAGTACTAAAGCAGTTTTTCTGGAACCACGTGCACCATTCAAACTATCTGCCTTCAACGTTCGCACACTTATGCAGGTCGGACAGCCGATAGGGCTGGATATGTCTTTGGAAAGTCTTAATATCGATGTCTGCTGTCTATTCGAGACCCGTATTCAAGACTCTGGTGAAGTACTACAAATTCGCTCTCCATCTGTCGCTTCGAAAAGCTTGTTTTACGTGCGCTTATCCGGGGACCCTGTGGCATCTTCATCTGGTCTTGCTGGCGTTAGTGTCGCACCAAGCGCTAGAGATGAGGCAGCACTAATCGATTGGATCCCTATTAACAGTCGGTTATGTGCTGTTAGATTAGAAAGTTCCATCAAAGTGAGAAGAAATCAGCGTGAGAAACGATGTGTTTTCGTCATCTCCGCCTATGCCCCGATAGATTGCAGCCCGGATGCAATCAAGGATGAGTTTTACCACCAGTTAACTGTTCTTCTCCAGAAAGTGCGTTCGACAGATATTGTAATACTGGCCGGAGACTTGAATGCTCAGGTCGGGCGTCTAGGCACAGATGACGATTATTTAGATGGTAGTTGGAGGTAGTCAACAGGAAACACTGGACCCGGGTTTCGTGCTACTTGGCACTCGTCAGCAAGGTGTACCTGTAATCATGGGGGAACTGGTGCTACCTGGCGGATTCGATCTCGTGTCACCTAGCTTCACAGTCAGAGACGTTAACACTCAGCTATCCGAGCCGTTACATGACATTGATCACCACCCAGTGATCATTCAATTGTGATTACATCTCAGTCCTACAGGAGGCGAGTCACGGCCCGGATAGCTCAGTGGTAACGTCTCAGACTGTAAAGCTACGTGACACGAGATCGAATCCGCCAGGGAGCACCAGTTCCCCCAAGATTACAGGTACACTTTGCTGACGAGTGTCAAGTAGCACGAAGTCCGGGTCCAGGGTTTCCTCTTGACTACCTCCAACTACCATCTAAATATCAATACATAGTGCCCACAGTGTCGAGTCGCCTAGACTGGTGGCCACATTGCAACATGATCGATAGCATTCGATCTGCACTAATAAGGACTAGACAAGCATGACATTGATCACCACCCAGTGATCAATCAATTGTGACAGAAGAGGATTGTTTAGGTGGCTGATGGGGACTTGTTGATCGCAGGACAGATAACGGGGACCGTCTACTGCAACTTTGCACAGACCACAACCTGTTTCTGGCTAACACTAACTTTCGACACAGTCATCGCCGATGTGCCACCTGGCGTCCTCCTTCTGCATCTCAAGCCTGGACTCAGCTTGGTCACATAGCGATCAGCTACCGCTCTCGTGGTTGTGTACGAGACCGCCGCTCCTTTTGGAGTACCTATCTGCACTCTGACCATGCCTTGGTCTGCGCCAATCTTACCTTAGTTTTCAGTGGCCAACGAAGTGACCACCACCAAAGGATTGATGTTAGCAAGTTGGTTGCAACTTCTGTTGCAAGTAAGTATCGAACCGAGCTAGTTTCTAGACTAGCTATCATTCCACCGAAAAGTATAGATGAGCATTGGTTGCAATTGCATGACGCCATGAAAATGGCGGGTACAGTCAGTTGTGGATTTGCGAAACATCCCGTTATAAGCACTGGGTTTCTTCAGGTTCCTTACAACTCATTGAAGCCCGTCGGTCTACTCCGGGTGACCGTGAGTTTGACCATAAACGTAGGATGTTACGTAATGAAATTGGGCAAAGCTTGCGTAAGGACCGAGATGCCTGGTGGTCGAAGCGTGCTAATGAGCTAGAAGCAGCAGCTGCATCTGGTAATTACCGGAAGCTCTTCCAACTCATCCGAGCCACTGGCAGCAAGAAGTCTGGTGTGAGCGAAACAATCTGCGAGGATGATGGGAGGCCGATCACTAACATCCATCGACTTCTTGGACAATGGGCAGAATTTTTCAAAGGGCAGTTCAACTGGCCTGCTGCTCCGGCAACATCGGTCTGACTGTTCTGCCTTCCATGGCCGGTGACGACTAATCCACTAAATGAGGCGGAAGTCCGCAAGGAACTCCATCTCTTGAAGCGTTACAAATCACCTGGCCCAGATGACTTGCCTCCGGCTCTTTTTAAAGATGGTGGTGACTTTGTGACTAAGGAACTGACGACGTTGTTTACAAAGGTCTGGGAGCTCGAGATTGTATCAACGTCACGGAATGAGTCGATAGTTGTCCCTATCTTTAAAAAGGGTTCACGTCGTTCCTGTAACAACTATCGGGCGATAGGTCTACTTTCGATTGCGTCCAAGCTATTGGCTTCCGTCATACTTCGTTGACTGTTCAAAACCCGAGAAAGATTGGCTCGCGAGGAGCAGGCTGGGTTTCGTCCCGGTCGAGGATGTATTGATCATATCTTCACCCTCCGCCAAATGTTAGAACACCGCCATAATTATCAAACGCCAACAATCGTAGTGTTTCTGGACATTAGGGTTGCCTTCGACTCGTTGGACAGGACTGTTCTCTGGGATTGTCTATTGAAGAAGGGTGTGCCTGAGAAGTTCATTAACATCCTAAAAGCCCTATATACAAACACCTCAGGCAAAGTGAGGGCATACAACCACCTTTCTCCATTGTTCCATTCGAGCAGTGGGGTTAGGCAGGGTTGCCCAATCTCACCATTCCTCTTCAACTTTGCCATCGACGAAATTCTGGAAACAGATCTGATGGATGTAAGTAATGGCGGTGTGGATCTGTTGCCTGGAGAAAGACTTCTCGACCTTGAGTATGCGGATGATATTGTCTTACTGTGTAAGAATGTCCAAGGCATGCGATCCGCGCTTAATCAGTTGGAAATCAGTGTCCGTAAGTATGGTATGTGCTTTGCACCTTCGAAGTGCAAAGTACTTCTACAAGACTGGCAGGATTCTAATCCTGCACTCACCCTGGATGGTAAGCAGATAGAAGTAGTCGAGAAGTTCGTGTATCTAGGTAGCTGCATAAGTGCTGGTGGGGGTGTGAGTGATGAGATCAATGCACGTATGGTGAAAGCCAGAGGGGCTTATGCCAATCTGGGCCATCTTTGGCGCCTTCGTGATGTTGGTCTGGCTGTAAAAGGTGGGATTTACAACGCGTCGATGAGAGCAGTTTCGCTTTATGCTTGTGAGACCGGGCCTCTCCGAGTTGAGGACGTTAGAAGACTCCCTGTGTTCGATCATCGCTGTCTCCGAAGGATTGCTGACATCCAGTGGCAACACCATGTCAGTAATGCAGAGGTTCGGCATCGTGTGTTCGGGCACAGAGATGATAATTCAATTGGTGTCACCATCTTGAAACATCGACTTCGGTGGCTTGGACATGTTCTCCGAATGTCGTCCCAGAGAATTCCACGTCGTGCATTATTTGCCGACACTGGGACTGGTTGGAAGAAGCGGAGAGGTGGTCAGTCCATGACATGATGTCGTGGTATGAAAGAAAGCTGCAAAAGACTGGCTTCTGTCGGTCCATCACGACTCCCTGGCTGGGGTCCGAGAGATGGTGCAACACAGACGTTATTAGATATGGCTCCGAATAGAAGCCAGTGGCGATCCTGTTGTAACCTTCTTTTACTTTCTTCATAAAAAAGTGGTTGTCTCCCTTAACTGAAAGATTTTTTCTGATTGTACCTTTCCGTTTCCTCATTATTACTATTATTATTACTACACTACATTACACCAACCTCTTCGTTATTGTTCTCTCTTTTTTACGCTCCTTACCTTTTTTTCTTTCTCTTCGAATTCTCATTGTTTTGTGTGGCGCATATATATTGGCGCTCTCTTGTACCAATATTTATGTGTTCAAATAAATAAATACAATAACGTACATTCCATAAACTCATTAGTTCAGATAGACAATCAGAGAAATAAATTGACGAAAGTGAAGTGAAATAAAACGAAGTGATGCGCAGTGGAGAAGGTGAATGAGCTAACTCACTTTAATCACATGTGACTCAATATTTTTAGACAGACCAAAGACTAGTTATGGACATGTAATGAGTAAGGTAAGCAATTAACAAACGTACGATCATATAAGAACAGTCAGAGTTAATAAGCAAGGTCAAAATATGGCTTGAAAAAAATGAATAAACTGATTTGTCCAGAAGCTAGAATAACCTATGTGGGCTTGACATAGAATCAGCCACTACAATCATTTAAAAACCATGATGGAATAAATTCAGGTCAAAAACTGTAAAAACTTGTCACATTACGTTGTGATGACTCCATTAGTTAAATTTCAAAGATAAATTGGGTATTTAACACCATGGGCAAATGCAGCTTAGCTGACCCACTGGCCTTATTTCTGAGGTCTGAAAAATGGGCATGAGCGGAGGAATAATGCATCCTACTTCGCAGTGCATAAAACGTGAACTTTTTGTTTTATACAATGTCTAAGCTTAATTGTGCATAAGCTGCAAAATAAATTACGACGAAAAATCACCTTTTTAAACTGGCCTATCCTTAAAATGCAATCCGTTGTACAGTTCGAACTGAAGGGCGAGAGACGTTCTAGTTTGTTTATCCACTCTAACAGATTCTTCAGTGTAGAGGTGTCCACAGATACCAATTCTTCTGAAAAAAAATAAGGTTCATCTTGACATCTAATACATCAGGCTAAAAGAACAAGAGTTACCTGATCATGTTGACCATCATCATATTTGCTACCTGTTCCGATATCAAATACCCTAGGGAATTAACAAAATTGGAGAATATTTCCAGAGACTGAGTCTTAATGTCCAAAAGAAAAACTGCCGAACGCTCTTGGATAACACCAAATATCGATCGACTCCCAGAAGTAAGCCAAGTAAGACGATTGCGATAGAGATCTACAGCTTGCATAATCTTCATCTTTAGTTGTTTAATGTAGCCTTTCTTAGCAATAACCTTTAAAAATTAATAAACAAAAATTGACATACATTATAGACGTCTCCAGTCCTATCATTCGTCATCCTTACAAACAGATTGTCACCGTAACATGATTTAATGTATTTTCCCAGAGAATGATGATATTCTTTAGAATCCGAAATTTTCATAAGTTTCAGCTTACCTCCTCTCACTGGGAATCCAATGTTCTGTAAAACGGATGACCTATCGATTTTATTGGTGTTTAACCCATATATATTGAGCCATGCTTTTGAGCTTAATTGTCTATTCACTGCAGAATCACCTTTAAGAAAGGATTCTATTTTATTGAGCTCTTCATGCATATTCGTTTATTTTGACTGGTATAAAATATATTATAGAAAGTATTTCCTCTAAGTATACATAACTCACTCTGATTTCAAATATACACTTGGTTCATTGCAGTTTGAGATTTATTTTTCAGCCCAAAACAAACGGATTTACACCAAACCATGAAATCCTAACATCTCAATAAAAAGCCTCCAGTTTGGAATAGCGCTGGAACTCTAGTCACTATGACGGTTCAATATCTAATATCTATGACACGGACTCGTATAAACCAGCCAGTTTGTTGCGATCGCTTCGTCTCCTTTCGGTACGGTTCTCAGTATTTTTTTATGTCAAATGAGTAGTATTCCAGCCACCCGATTGCATTAATTCTTGTCAGTTTGTTAGTTATTTAGGGATTTGCGTATCTTATAGTTGAGTGAGTGCGTTTTTATAAGGGCACACTACCACTCAAAATGTTTGGTTAAATGCAGTTTAAAAACAGTAAAGTGATAATTTCACTGCTAAGAGAAGAGGATTGCTTCACATATAATAAACAAGCTAATTGTATGATAATGTAAGAGAAGAAATCGAAGAATGTGCGGAAATATGCAGACAATAGTAAAAGGGATGGAGAGCAGTTACTCTTATGTTCTAACGACAACCATGGTCATTTATAGGACATGAAGTAGACACATCCGGCTTAGGATGCTCTGGAAAGAGTTAAACAAGAAGCTTGAACTTCCCGGAATACAGCCTATGACGGATACACGGTTCACTCGGGGAAAAGACTCCAGGCATCAAACCACCCGAGGCTACTTTGAGTAACGCTCACTAATGCTACCAACGTAGAGGATATCCTGCTAGGCATTCACTTACTGAAATCTGATGGGAACGTAAGAATACTGCCTGATATACTGTATTCTGAGCGCAATCTCATCCGGAACTTGCCTAATGAATTTCACAAGAAGAAATATCATTGTGCGAATTGTACCGGAAAACACAAACCCCGGTCATCAAGCAGTCCTTGAGGCTCAAAAACATAGTGACTCAACAAATGACGAGACTAGCCAAGAAGGACGGATATTCTAGACCCCGGTTAATAAGGATAACTTTCCCATCCTCCCATATGGCGGCTGCAACTGTGAAAACATTTCGTGCCAACAGACGTCGGTTGCCAACTGGAATCCATATGCACGTGGTTAGATCACACGACGCCAGGATCAAGCACAAAGAAAGTTTGGGCTGACCACTCCACTTGTGGACTGTCTTGGTCATAAAATAACGCGTAAAGAACAGGCACTATCAACTCGGAAAACCTTGTATAGGTAAGCTACCTGTCCATTCACATATGGCTCATACAGACAAACAGGACGCGTTTCAAATTGAAAGTATAAACTGCTTATAGATGAACGCCGCGAATTTACCAAATCAAATGGATGAGTTATGTGATCTCAGCAATGCTAATAATGCTCATCTGATAGGAATATTTGAAACTTGGATATCTTCTTAGTTTACGGACCAGGATGTCTTTGTTTCGCAATAACAGGTAACAAAAATTGGGGGTGGAGTATCCTTATGCTTTACGATCTAACCTGGAGGCACATCAAGTGCACAATCAAGAATTTATCAACCTTGATGAATTCGTATGGTGTTCAGTAAGATTGTATACCACCATATGGTGTCTAGTTGGGGTCATCTACAGGAAGCCCAGTGCTAACGTGGAGTACGACAACCGTATGCTAGAAGAATCTTCCCTTTCTACTCGTATCGGATTCCCTCATATGCAGACTATGCGGACTTCAAACTTCCTAAGGTCAATTTCGCGGAACACATGTACATTGGCGGTGAAAACTCAACTGCAGCTCGGTTCTCCAACCTCGTGATCTGTGACCGTTCGAAAATGTGAAATCGACAGCTCCTTGAAGGAACAGTCAGACACCGTCGCGCTTAGACTAGATATATGCAAAAGAAGAATTCCTAGTTAAAAACCTCTCAATTCTGGCTCCTCTGGGGAGAAGCGATCATGCTGTCACAGTCTTCAGTTTTATCAGTGAAACTGAGCTAAGACATCCCACCAATAGCAGGCGCTGGAATTTCAATGGGTTGAATGTGTCAGTTTAACAGGACTATCTATAACAGGTGGATTAGGATGTTTATTGGATGCTTATTGGAACTGCATACTGCACACCCCCTTATGTGCTACAAAGTAGTCTATTCCTACAGTCATCACAAATCGCACTCTTTGTTTGCTAATCCACAAAAGGCACTGTTCAGCAGAATGCAAACGAACTTGTAATAACGGCGCATACAGGTAATACAAACATATAAGGAACATATACACAAAGGCTATAATATAAGACAGGCTTCGGTCACCAGATAAAGCTTATCGATAAACTTGCCCCCAATCCGAAAAGCTTATTCCGTTAGGCAGTCTCTCTTCGACAAGCCACAACTGGGGTTTCCCAACTGCTAGGTTCGAATGGCCCGACCAATAATGACGGTGACGCCGCTAACCTTTTGGTTGAACAATACTCTTGGACATTTCAACCGACCTACACTAACTATATTGATGAGAACTTCATCTGCAACTGCACAGGACTTTCCGAAACAAACGTGAGCGCTGACTTGGTGTACCGGGAACTGCAGCACGTAAATAAAGACACTTCCCCTGGCCCGGATATGGTTCATTCTGCTATACTGGGGGAAGTCATTTACCTTGACTTCTAAAAGGCTTTTGAATGGGTCAACCATATATGTCTTGTCAATAGGCTCAAACGATTGGGTATCAAAGCACCTTTAATTGACTGGCTCACTTCAAATCTAAAAAATCGACATTTCAGGGTCAGAGTTAACTTCACTTTCTCTGCGTCTATGGAATGTCCTAGTGAGGTCCCCCAGGGTTCAGTATTAGGACCTCTTCTACAACAGATATCATCTGACTTATTACTATTTGCTGATAATGTGAAATGTTGGAGAGAGCTGTTCAGCCGACAGTGTGCTGATAGGTTTCGCGCTCTGTTTCAGGATTGTTGGTCGGATTTAGTCACATCCTATCGACTTTCCTGGGTTCGGGGATTTTAGTCTATTTAATACAAACCTGGAAAATGGTCGACTATCACCCAGAGCATCATTTGGCATTAGAGTTAAAAGGTGTTTCGCGTTTGTAAGCCCCTGGTTTAGTAGGTCTGTGAATTTGGCACTAAAATTTTCCCCATATTACAGCTAGTGAGATCTTACCCATTTTTCCCTTTAAAAGTACAGACCCCCTGGTTTGATGTCTATCCCCTGATCATGAAGATACAATGATACTTGGAGTTAGATTGCGTTGTGGCTGCTAGCGTGGCTTGAAAACATCTATTGCCCAGAACTACGACGTTGGATGGTATTATCAGTGATGCCTCTTACTTTCTCCTAGTTGTCATTCACTGATAGCCGCCACCGCTCATGATCATTTAGTGGCATTGGACCATAACCACACAATCCTCAAAGCTGAACACGAGACAACTCGGAAAATAGATATTCAGTATTGAATGAATTGGAGTTGATCGAATGGCATGGCTCGGCCATGCAGGCGTGGTCCCTATTAAATTTTACTTTATATCTCTTTTTCATATTAAATATATTGTTCTGTCTCTAGCCTAAGCTTGTTCTACATCATGTATTGGTGATTGTTACGATACGATGAGTTGGTGTAGACGATGTAATGACTTCTACGTAAGATCTTATAGATTAGGCAGTTATATCATGACACGTCTACAATTTTAAGATTAGGTCTATTATTAGCGCAGTACTATCATAGTAGACCATAATTCTACAACCATGGGGCATGTTGTATATGCTCTCTCATGGCTGTGTATCAGCCTTAGTATAGTTAATGCAGGAATCGACTCCATCATTTTCACGTATCCAGTTTGTGGTCACGTCCAACGCGTCTGTGTCATGGTCAATACTTACTATTAGTGCGTGGACGTATACATCCTCAACTAGAAACCGATCATTTATCGGTAAGTAAATCAAGCATGAGGTTTTTCCGTCTGTTTTCTATCGTGGCGCTACCCACGTGTTCCGCCAGTCCTGAACTTCTACTGGTTTAGGAAAGGCTTTTTCACAACAACTTCATAGGACTGTATCCTGCTAGTTGAGTATTAGTGATGCAGAGTTGCAGTTATCCAGTTAGTAGTATTTGGTTGGAACCCAGGTGCGGTAACTTTAGTATCCCCTATGTTATCTTATCTTCCCGGGTAGTAGAACATGTGGGGGGGGCGGTGTATTCGACCAGTCAGGTAGGCCGCGCCGCTCACTCTGAAGCAACACATGTTCGATTCTCCTATCTCATTTGGTTCATTAATCTGTGGTTTCGAAGCTTAGAAGTAACAGCAAATGTATGCATCATATCGTGCCGAGAAAGTATCATGTCTTGCAATCCCACTTATTCATCTGTGTTATCCGTTGATAGTCTTCTTTCACTGAAGTCTATAACCTTCATACCATACGGCGTGGTTCACTGTATAACTGCTTACCTTTGACTGTCTGCTAAGAACGATCGCTGGAATCCCTGAAGATAGATATTTGATCCCATCTTGTTGAAAATATTTTTAATAATTCTCGAGTATTGACCTTTTGTGTATTGCTTATTCCTTTTGTTGTTTAGCACTCTAGTTTAGGTTAGAGAAACCCTTGACTATATAATACAGACTGTACCATTTGAGATACTTTGTATTTTCGATAAAATATTTTTTCTTTCTTAAATTAAAACCGTCTAAATTTAGCACAAATTTGTGTTTTGATATAATATAATACGAGTAACTCAAGATACTTTTGTACGCTATACAGAGAAACGTAGTCTGTTCTAATTGAACAAATTTTGGTTCATTAGTTCTACGTTCAAAGCGAATATTGGTGTCTCGGTTGTTGCACTTGTTCTGAGTTCACAAACACGCCTCATAAACTATTTACATATTCCGCGTTTCACCCGTTTCTTCCTTTCCTTCTTTAAAGTCAACTCAATACTCTTCAAATATTCTTCAACTACAGAGAACTTGTGTGTTTAGAATATGGCAAATATTATGCTCACATTGCTGAAACATATGTATTATTGGATTTTTGAAGAGACCCAAGATGGTTTCTTCACAACATTTAGATGCTCATAAGTCGTTTGTGAATAACATTAATAACTATTGTTATTCCACTTATAGGATGAGCATCTCTTGCATCCAGAATAAACCATCCTTCGAAGGAAAGTAAAAGGGGATCCTATTGATTGTTATCCCATGCTGTGCACCCAACAGTCATAACAATGAGGATAACGAAGATCAGTTTTACAAGAAGCTGCAGTCGTTCGTAGAGAAGTAATAATGGATGGACCTGAACATCCTGATAGGAGGTCCAAACGCCAAAGTTTGTATGGATGACATCGGATGTTAAAATATCATGTGACGACATGAACTGGATGAATAAATCAACAGCATTACTCTGAAGAACGAAATGAATCGGATTCAACCAAACAACGATATAAACCATTCAGTAGCAAATGCGCTTGAGGGTTAAGAGCAGTAATTCTGAAGCTGTACCATTTTACAAAATACTCTTTTGTTCATATAAGCTCATACGAGTTAACATAAACATGGGCAGTTGGTCCCAAATCAAATATCAAACTACCGTTGCCTTTTGTTAGCCGAGAGCTCTTCGAACTCCTCTTGCTTTGTCATTTTTTAAAGACAAAATCCTAGGCTATCTTCAAGAGAACAGTAGATTCTCTTTATCTTCATTGCCAATATTATTAGCAATATTAACATAACTACAAAATGTTTTGCCAAACAGCTTATAGTCTGCAGGCACTCACATTAATTGTGGTAGAAATCAAGGCATACCAGAGTTTCACGATTCGAAACAAACATTGGAATAGTTGTATATCACCGATATTATCAATATATATCGAAATTGCTTAGCTGATAATTCCTCCTTCTGAATCCACTGATACATTGAGCTTTTTAGAGTGTCTGAATCCGAAATTCATTTATATTCAAACCTACTGAACTCACTGATCTGCCGTTTTGCCACTCATTGATCTATGCTCAAAAGTATGTAACACAATCAGATACTATTTAAACATCCAGAAATCGTTAATACAATAATGGAGAATCCTGGGTCACATAGTAATTAATGCACAGTCTTTGGTAAACTGATTTTAAACCATTACACGATCATATTCTTTTAGTTATTTGGGCAAATGAACAACTCAGAGACTTATCGTCGTGCATATTTGTGAATCATACACGACTGATCAGTTGAGTCTTTAAGAAAACAGATGGTCTTTCCACTCATCAATAATAGTGTAGCGATAAATAAATCCACAAAATAAATAGCTATGTAAGTCTTCGACATTGGATGTTGACCACATTAATTCTAATAGACTCACCTAGCTGAAGGCACTCGGTCATGTACCCGCACCAGATCACGAGTGTGAACGCCATGCCCAACAACCCCTGCAATCGCTAGCCAGATTAGATCAAACGATCCTCGATATATTAATAGCATATCAAATATATCTTCGAACCTCCTCGCTCCTGTCTTCTGATTTCACTTGGTGGGTACGATTCATATTAGGTGTTACTGGTTAAAGCGTTGTTAAACTCCGAATACCTGTGGCATCTTCAATAGTCATGATTTAAAACGCGTAAACAATCGCCTGGTAGTCAGGTAGATATGAGAAACATAAACATTCGTTCTCTCATCGTCAATACACATGAAGCGTCAACCAATATTCTGTCTGATTAATTAGGTGACATATGTATAACAAAACAATATTGTCCATAATCAACTAAATTTCTCAAACCCCATTTTTTGTCCAGTTCCAAAGTTGTTGCAAATTTTAAATAAATTGGACTATGTTTATCATATTGGTCCGTGTAATGACCAAAATTCCAGAATACTATCTGGACCCAGGGCTTACGAACAAATGTTTACTTAATTGGGCGAAAATATGTTCTTCTGCATAACAAATGAAGCATTTTTGAGTGACTCATAATAAACTATATCAAAGCACAGATTGTGTGCTGAAGCTAAACCAGTGTTATTTGAGAAAACAAGCAAACAATATGAAAAGTATAATATACCCCAAAACGTACAGCCACTGTTATTCAGTTAAATGTTCCCTTAGCACAAAATAACATGCATAACAGCAAATAAAATGGTTAGTAAATAAACATCCAGTACTTGAGAATTCACTAGAGTATTCTCAACAAATGAGACCAAATATCTATTTGCGAAGATTCGGCTTATCTTTCCCAGCAAAAAATCAAATGCCAACAATTATGAGCCGAGCCACACCACAGCCGTGCACCTAATGAAACACAATCTCGTTGTGAATGGTTCGGTAACATGCAATAGCAAAATTAGGCAACAAAGGTTAATTCTCACACAATTCAAGTAATAAAAACCCTAAACAAAGAAGACAGAAGGACATGGAGCGTGATCACAAGAAACCTGGGTAGAAGTTGAAATACATGATAGGGGAAGATCAAGAAGAAATAACAATACCGTTCAATAACAACTTTCGAGAGTTTTCAGCGTATTCTTTCCATTACAGTATTATGAGACTCATACACAGACGACGAAATTACTTCTGTTTTGACATAATCCCCTGAAGAAATCTCGGCTACATCTGAACTCACTTCTGTATTAAACGTAGATGGAGGCCAGTCTCACTATTAGCAGATAATTCAGTCTAATTTCACCTCAGCAGCGCAACTGCCATCTAACAAAGCAAAGAGACCACAATCTATTTAAAAGCCCGCCTGCCTTAACAGAATGTTTTTCAAGTGGCTTATTAAAACGCTCGTACTCATACATATATAAACATTCTAGATCGCGTAACACATATTGGGTTTGAGAAAATGTTACTTGACTTGACGTACTAGTCCGTTTTGTTCCCCTAAGACTCAACCAAACAAGTAGCGTACGTTCACCAAACGTATGTTTTCTACCTCCCAGACATTGTATCAGAATTCATCGTGCGTCTGAAGTATCACATTCAATCAAGACTATTACTCGATTGCTTTGCAACCTCGGAAAACTTGTATCTCGTAAATACTTCCACGGTCCCAACTATTGTTCGGTTCGTAGGTTTGTGTCATCTGTCAAAATGCTGTTGACCGTATAAGCTCTGCTGATTGATGTATGACACACAACCATGAAATGCCATGCTTAAGAAACCTTTGTATTGTTTACAAAATATTTAATGGTTCAAATGGTTGTGGACGGAATAGAAGAAGCTTTCGCTTAACAGGCTTCCGTGTCTAGTAGCAGGGGATCACCAAATCCTCCAGGCAGGAACCTAGGTATGTTAACAGTAAAAGAGGAAAAGAAATTGGTAAATCATAGTGTGATGCTGTCCTTGGTCCTTAAGAATAGGTCAAGTTGCCTCTTGAAGGACTCCTGAGAAGTCGCTTGTACTAGCTCGGCCGGCAACGAGTTCCAGCTTTTGACAACTCTTAAGGAGTAGAAGTTGTGTCTACATTCCGTCTTGCTGTGTTGTGTTTCCAGTTTCTGGGTGTTACCCCTTAGGTTATTATTCGAACTAAGCTTAAGTAGGTGTTTAAGAGGATGTCCAGAAGTGTTAAGAATACTATAAGCCATTAATAAATCACCTCTAAGACGCCTATATTCTAGTGGGTAAAGGTCTAGTGAACGGAGGCGTTCTTCGTAAGGCTTAGATTTGAGTCCTCGAACTGATTTCGTGGCTCGCCGTTGGATACGCTCCAAAGTGACCTTGTCCTTTTGGAGTGAGGGGGGAGTACTATGTTACCGTACTCTAAATGGGGACGGATGAAACTATTGAAGATTGTGTGGAAAGTTCTTCCGTCAAACTGGCCAAAAATGCGCCTCAACGTTACCAGTCCAAGGTTTGCTCGGAAGGCATTTTTGTCACAGTTAGCGTAAGACTTTAAGTCATGGGGCACCAGGACTCCTAAATCTTTTTCGACTTGGGATACTACTAGAGAGGAGTTTCCTAAGTTGTAACTGTAGTTTGCGACATGTCGCAGATGGACTACTTTACACTTTGAAGTGTTAAAGGTAAGTCCGTTATCGTCTGCTCAACTTTGAAGTCGAGTCAGATCCTCTTGAAGTGCCTGTATATCGTCTTGGTTGCGTATCTCTCTCCAAAGTTTCACGTCATCGGAAAAAGTAATAAGTCTGACGTTACCTGTTGAGGAAGATCATTTATGTAGATCAAGAAGAGAAGAGGCCCTTGTACTGAGCCCTGGGGGATCCCACTAGGACATTCCATAGCCTGAGATAAAGTGAAATTAACCCTAACCTTAAAGTGTCGATTTTTTAGGTATGAAGTAAGCCAGTCGATTAGAGGTGGTTTGATACCTAGTCGTTTGAGCTTGTTGATAAGACACAAGTGGTTAACCTTATCAAAAGCTTTTGAGAAATCAAGGTAAATGACATCAACCTTTCCCTTGCGATCGAGGATGCTTGTCCATCTGTCCACCGCAGTCAGCAGGTTGGTTATACAAGAGTAACCCTTCCTGAAACCATGCTGTTGGGGTGAGAAGAAATTTAAGGACAGTAGATAGTCATTTAAACCGTCGCATATCAGGGACTCCATGAGTTTTGAAGGTAACGACAGAAGAGCTACCGGCCGATAACTTGAAGGTTCATTGCGTCGACCACCTTTGAAAATTGGTGTGATGTGAGCCAACTTCCAATTTTCGGGTAATTTGCCTCGGCTAAGTGTCTTTGCATTCGTAAGCGAGGTCTGAAGGCAACGACGTTCGTTCTTGATAATCGCTTAAAACTATCTGCGAATTTAGTGGTCATACGGCTCCATTGTCATCCGAGGTATCTACATTTTTTGAATCGGTAACTTGGTTAAAATGTTAGGCGGAATTCTTGATGCTTCTATAACAGCGCGTCGTATGGAATCCAGCTTATTCGTCTCATTTGCTCCACAAATCTCTTTCATTTAAATTGTAATCAAACGCTTTTGAGTTTTAACAAATAATCATTGTGTGTTCCACTATTAAATGTCGAAAATTATGTTTCTACGAAGTGTCTAGATTTAGTATCTCTTGTTCACTCCATTTATCTTGATCATAGCTTTACAACTTAGAACAGGTCATGTTGCTATCGAGGTCAAGTTATTTACTGTAGTCTGACCAGAAAACATTTAACTATATCCCTGCTACTAGACACGGAAGCCTGTTAAGCGAAAGCTTCTTCTATTCCGTCCACAACCATTTGAACCATTTGAAATTGTCTGCTCATATTGTCACATGCGTTAATTATTCAAAAGTTCGGCGTCGCTCATAGGTCGTCCATAAACTATAGTCTCACCAAAAGTTCTAGCTTAGTACTTATCACTTGCGTAGAAAGTCATATTAAGGCTGTGATTCGATCATAAGTGGTTCCCATTTACTTTTTCTGACCATCGTCCTTTTTTTCCATTTTGCAGGTTTTATATGTTTGGATAGATCATTTCGGTAGCTAATGCAATATCTCCTAATATGTTTTTATCCTGCGACCTATGCTGTATTTTAGCAATCAGGTATGCTTTGTTTCTCGCGTCCTTGGTCTACTTAATAAAGTTCATATTTATAGGCTCACACGGTGTCTATTATTTCATATGGTTCTTTAGATTCTTTTCAGAAGTTCCCATTATCCCTCCATTTTACCGTATTTTACGAGTCTCGAATAAAATTTTCAAAGGGATTCTGAGTTTTCTTAGGTATGGGTGATGGGCAGCGAAAGTAATGAAAACAGTTTTGAACTCATATTTCTAGGTTCACTTTTAAGCCTCTCAAGAGCACTCCCAAAGCGACCACTCCACGCATTTCGAGCTCAGTATGGATTACAATTTCTGATTAATAAATCTTTACAGGCACCCAGTATTCCAATGCATAGACCGCTTTTCACGACTTCTGATAACTCCCCAACATGCAAGGATGATAATTCAACAAAAGTTTCAGCTAAGTTTCTCCCTACAGCTACAGTGACTCCAATTAGGTGAGTTTTGTCATTCGTATGCTTAGTTACAGGAACAACAATGATGTAGTTAGGTCCCCATCCCCTGATCTCGACGTTTCAATTCACGAAGAGTCATTAGGTAGGTTTGTTAATTAAATATAAAAGCTATAGAAGTTCCTTCACCCTCCTGGTTTGACGAATCTGAACCAATAGAAAATCCCAGTTCTACACCCACCAAAAACTTAACACTCCATAGGCCAACAGATAAAACATCACCGGTCTCAGTTATTCCTCGAACTTCTAGCTTGGAGTCTTCTACTTGTATGAAAAGTGTATCTAAACCATGTCTGCAAAATGAGTCTCGAATTTTTCAAGCGCTCAGCACAGAAAACTCAAATTTAAGATCTCATGATGACTCTGTTTCAATACCTCAGTCATTTTACAGTTCAATCTGTAAAGCATGTGACTTATTGGAGAACTTACCAATGAACAAATTAATGTATTGTTTTGGAGATGAATTATCCGTAATAACAAAATTACTGCATGAAAGGTTGGTCATTTTCAAGTTAATAATACTTTTTGTAGAAGCTCAAACCCAAATATTGTGAGCGGTCACCCTCCCTCAGGAATGGTGAAGAAATTAACCAATCCGATTTCTCCTACATTCACATCTGGTCAACACATTCGAAACACAAATACCTCTAAAAGGATGTTGGTCAGTACAGTTTGGTTATCTGATTATTTTGGTTAAGCTTCATTAAAACTGTAGCTACTGTTTTAAGAAGTTATATGTTGGTTTCGTGTAAACAAGCCTCCTGTCTTATTGCCAGTTATCTCGCTCATCTGCTATTTCATTTCTTGCCTAGATGGGCGTTACCTCATGTGCACTTGGGAATATCTTGTCCGATGATGACAGTTGGGCCAACATTAGCACTAACTCATCGAAAACCCGAGCCTTGTCGGATGTTCCTACAAAATGTTCAAGTACTAAAAAGTCAGCTACACAAAAAACGGATGATAATTGCACCATACGGCATTCGACTATGACTTTTGACTCTGGCGAAGGGAGTGCTTTCCTTCCACTTCAAGCTCAATCTAAATGGGGTAAGTGCCAAAGTTTCTTAAAATTCGCTCTTTGAATCATAAAGGCATAAAATTGTAGTAAACAAGTTTATGTTGTTACAGTTAAAAATACATTAGAGCTGTAAGAGAAATTGCGTCACTTAGCAATCGAGTTATTGTCCTAATCATTGTGATCACGCATTTTTGACCATATTCATTTTCGATTAGATGTCCAGACCCATTGTGACGATCAATATAATCAGCCAGATGATGGCTCAACAGGCGAGTTTGATGGAGATGATCGTTTTCCTCATTCTAAACGCATGATGGAAGCATTCTCAAAAATGTTTGGTCTACGATCCTTCAGACGGAATCAACTCCAAGCAATCAATGCAGCTCTTCTTGACCGTGATTGCTTTGTAATCATGCCCACCGGCAAGTTATCATTATCTTCTGTCATTAGACTTTGTTTAGACGTTGCTGTGATGTGTGGTTTTTGCTCATATTTTTGAATCAATTGTGTCACGTCTTTAAACATGAACTTGGTTTGTTCCCTCAATAACATTACATCACACCTTATGTATGCGATTATTGAGAAATAGTGTTCTTAAATATTAAGTGACAAGCGCTTAATATAAAGAAGAATATAAGCAATAATGGTATTTTGCTGAAATTCCAAACCTTGTTATGCGGAAGACATTATCTCTAAAGCCATGGGTTTAGGTCTACAGTCACTATATTGTATGTGGATTATTGTACCAACTTATTTCAAACACTAGTGCACTGTAGACATCGTCAACGACTGCTATTTACTTGTTTTATGATTTTACTCGAAGTAATCAACTGTGTCATGAAATAAAAATATAGGTGATTCAACGGATAATATTTTCTTGATGAAATCATTTCAGCTGCATGATCGTAAATATTTTTGTTTGATGTAAACTGACCCGAGATTCCAAATATTAACAGTTTGTGTAATGATCCAGAGGTTGAAAAAGAGTAGGAGGATGAATAGGAAGTGGAGACGGAGATTGGTTATGAATACAGTGGTCTTGAGTGCTGTTAGAGGTATGAGGGCGGTTATCACTTCCCGGTTGCCCACACCGTGGAAGGGTTCTTCTGGAGGTACCTGAAAAGGAAATTGGATTAGCGGTGGTCTTAGTGACCTGGGAGCGTGACCGCAGTGCCCAAGGGACAACTGCTTGAGGTCGGTCACACACGACCTTTTTATGGGCAATTTTTGTGTTAGCTCCGTACTTGTTGAGACCCTACCACCGAAGACGGATATCCGTGGGATAAGGCGAGATGTGCATTTTTAGGGTCCACCTTTTCTAACCCCACCCCTTCTTGTGGGAAGGCAGCATCGCTGTTATGCTGGTTGTCTGAAGGAAACACCTGACTGCTGTCACACCCCTGTACAGTCAGCAGGACGACTTCGCCTTCGAACCTTGGGTTTGTTGCTTTTAGTCTTACCGCTCTTCAACCGACCTATCTGACATGGTAGGACCTTGAGGAACGGTTGTTCCAGCCAGTATAGCTCGGTTGGGTCATCACGATGGGCAAGCCCGACCACCACGTCAAGGTAGCAACAACAGTTAAGTTCTGGAACATAGGCATACTTATCGGCGTCCGACAATGGTGGTCTTTCTTGACTTGAAAGCAAAATTTGACTCGGTAGACCGCGATATTCTGTGGCAGTGTCTGTCATTGAAAGGCGTGCCTCAGAAGTACATAGACCTTGTGAAGGTTCTTTACTCGAACACTACCAGTCGAGTCACAGCTTATGGCAAACTTTCATCTGCTTTTGTAACCTCAGGTGGTGACCGTCAAGGCTGTCCACTTTCTCCATTTTTGTTTAACTTGATCGTAGACCTATTGATGGAAATAACATCCCCATCGACTGGATTCTCAGGTATTGATCTTCTTCCAGGAAGTCCACTTATCAACTTAGAATACGCAGATGATATAGTCCTGTTTGGTGAAGACGCTGATAAAATGCAATCTTTTGGTAGCACTAAGCAACAATGCCAGAATGTTTAGAATGCGCTTCTCTCCCTCTAAGTGCAAGTTGTTTCTTCAGGACTGGCGTGCGTCAACACCTGAACTATGGATAGGGAATGAAGTTGTCGAACGCGTTGACAAATTCACTTATCTTGGAAGTCTGATCAGCCCAAATGGGTTTGTGTCTGACAAAATCTCAGCACGGATTCGAAAACTCGCTTGGCTTTTGCCAACTTACGTCACCTTTGACAAAGGCGAGATATCCGTCTATCAATAAAAGGACGAGTATACTGCTCGGCAGTCCGTTCTGTTTTAATTTGCGGCAGCGAAACATGGCCTTTATGAGTAGAAGACACTTGTAAGCTACTAGTATTTGACCACAGATGCCTTAGAAATATTGCTGGCGTCTACTGGAATCACCGGGTAAGTTATAATGAGGTTAGACGCAGGATATTAGGGAATGATGGTAAATCAGTTGATGAGGTTGTGAATCTTCATCGACTGAGATGGTTGGGCCACGTGTTACGTATGCCTGAACACCGATTACCACGACGTGCAATGCTAACCGGCGTTAGGGATGGTTGGAAGAATGTTGGGGGCGGCCAAACCAAATCGTGGCATCAGTGCTTGAAGTCACTAACTTCTAGTCTGAGCCATGTTGGTAGATGCAGACTACTTGGTTGGGGTCCGCGTGACTATCGTAACCAATGATTGGAGACTCTTGGTGACATGGCTCAGAATCGATCACAATGGCATCGGTGTATACACAATCTGTCTTCCCTCAATCTAAGACATTAAAATCGCTTCATATCTTTCTTTCTACGAACTAATTCTTTCTTCCTGTACTATATCCTTATTGCAACCTTTCTTTTATATATTACCATCTGTGAATTAACTACTTTTATGAATCCGGTGTCCATCTTGTTTTGTTATTGAGGTATGGCAACTTGGACCGATGCATATATGTGCCTGGTCCTACGTTGTAGCTGACTGACTGAGGAGGATGAATTTACTTTTCTGGTTAAAATGTAAATGATGTGTCCACTTAACGAATATGCTTGTGGGTGCTACCTTGATTTGGAAGTTAGACTCGCCTATCGTAACGACTCAACCGAGCTATATTGACTGGAATACGTATTTCTCTAGGTCCTACTATGCCAGGCAGGTCGGTGGGAGAGTGGTACAACCAAAGACCAGCAACCTAATGCCCGAGGGCGAAGTTGTACAGTTGACTGTAGAGGTGTTTAACAGTATTAAACTGTTCACCTTGGAAAACCAACATCTGAAGCAATGCCGCCTTCTCACAACGGAAGGAAGAGGTCATGAAAGATCGATCCCAAAAATGTCACACCTCATATTAACCCATAGATTGCCGTCTTCGGCGGTAAGGTCTGAATTGCGGAGCTAACACATGAAAAGCTTCACACAAAAAGACCGTACGTAACCGGCCCCAAGGAGATGTCCGTCGAGTTTTGCGGACACATCACCACTAACTCAAATTCCTTCTCAGGTTTCAAGAAGAAATATCGTTTCACGGTGTGAGCAGTTGTGACAACCGCCCTCTTACATCTATCAGTACCCGAGATCTTGTTCTCACTCAGATCCCTCTTTCATCTCTTAATAATTCTCCTATCCCCATGACTAGGCTTTCTCGTGTATCTTAGTCACCAAACGCCACCATTGCTAATGACTCGGGTTCATGAAATGTTGTTCCTGATCCCCTGAAACCCGGCTCTAGACTACATGTTGGAGCTAACAATATTTGAACCTTGTATGAGATAAGACAATAGGCTGTCCTTAGCTAAGACTCTAGAACCTGGCGCCATTGATGTATGTTGCATCTCCGAAACCTGCATACAGGATCCAAACAGTCATTCACTTGACCTCAACTTGTCAATATAAAAAATCTGTGATTTACTGTTCGTGTATCTGAAGACCCCATTGCTGCATCCCGTACCCTTCCTGGTGTGGAAATAGGATTAAGTTTAGAAGCAGAACTGACTCTCCTAGACAGGATTCTAATAGATAGTCACTTAGACACTGCCCAACTAAACGGAATAGTAAGAACTCGGAAAGATAGGGACCCACGTCGTCACCTCGTTGTCCTCTACCTATGCACCCACTGACTCTAGCTCGTATGAAGTATAGGGTGAATTCTACAAGAAGCATTCCAACCTTCAAAAAACTAAGCACTCTGATGCAATAATAATGTCGATTGATTGTCATGTCAAGCAAAGAGAAAGGAACTTAGGTGAACCTCATGGTGTCTGAGCTCATCGAACAGATAATGGCAGCCATCTGTTGCAACTATGCTCAGATACTCGTTTATTTCAAGCGGGCATCACTCACAATCAACTCAACGGTAGATTCAAATAGACCATATTGACATCATCTCTCATTGGAGAGTCTCAATGGAAGAGTGCCTCTCATTCCGGAGCACACGTATAAATTGAAAGTATGCTCTCGTTGGAGCACGTATTTGTCTGCGTCTGACTGGACAAATGAAAGCCGAAGCAAGAAAACCCCTCAGAGTTCAACTTAATGATGAAAATGTTAAGAGTATATTGCAGAAACAACTAGAGAAGGAACTATTCAACCATGAAAGTGATATCCACCCCGAGGTAGCTTGGTATGATTTCCGGACAGCTGTGGAAACAACAGCAACATCTTCCAATAACCTAAAAATGGCTTAGAAAAGTCATTGGGTTTCAGCAAAGTCTACTGAGTCGATAAATACTCGCAAACTTAACCCTTCTTGTCTTAAACACGAAGAGGAGCGGACACAGCTTAAACGTAGATTGATAAAAACCTGTGTTATAATCGTTAGCGGTAGACGAGATTGAAAAGACAGAAGGGATATGTGACAGTAGACAACTGTTCAGACTTATCAAGGAAATGGGTAGTAAAAATGCAGTTGTTAGTGGAACTATTTTGGAACAAGACGAGGGTATTATTTACTCTCAATCCGGAAGATCTGATCAATAGGGAGAACACTTGAGGAGCAGGTGTGCCCAGACCGAAGCAGGTCTAATCCTGTACTCACCCTGGATGGTAAGCAGATAGAAGTAGTCGAGAAGTTCGTGTATCTAGGTAGCTGCATAAGTGCTGGTGGGGGTGTGAGTGTTGGGATCAATGCACGTATGGTGAAAGCCAGAGCGGCTTATGCCAATCCAGGCCATGTTTGGCGCATTTGTGATGTTAGTCTGGCTGTAAGAGGTCGGATCAACAACGCGTCGGTAAGAGTAGTTTTGCTCTGTGCTTGTGAAACCTGGCCTCTCTGAGCTGAGGACGTTAAATAAATAAATAAATAAAACACTTGAGGAGGTAGTTCAATTGACTTTCAGTTATCCATCATCTTCAAGCAAGTTGATGTAAATCTCCCAAGTCATGGGTTGAAAAGGCTACAAGTGATTTAAAGTGATGGAGACCAGCAGATCCTAGTGAAGTAACCCCTGAGATTTTTAAGAATAATGGTGCAGTTCTAACATTCGGATTAACTGAAATTTTAGCTAGAATCTGGGAAGTGAACATAATTCCATTTGACTGGTCTCGATCGCTGATCGTCCCAGCTTATAAGAAAGTACAAAAGTCCCCTTGTGACAAACACAGAGGGATCAGTTTAAGTAATATAGTGTCTGAAATATTAGCCTCAAAAGTGCTTCAACGTCTAACTAGAGGTCGTGAAGAGTAAACCCGAGAAAATCAGGTTGGACCGAATATTCACCCTTAAGCAGGTTCTGGAAAATAGACATACTACCGAGTAAGCAATGCCTGTGTTATGGATAGGGTACTAGTTAAGGATGATAAATTGACTGATAAGGTGGTTATTGAATCTTCATCAGCTGAGGTGGTTGGGACATGTGTTATATTGCCAAACCAAAACATGTCATTGGTGGATGAAGTGATTGAGGATTGCACTGAGCCATTTTAACAGGTGTAGATTAGTTTGTTGGGATCGGGTTGATTACATAATATTGGGTAAGACCATTAGTAATGATAATAAACAGTGGTTATGTACTTTGGTCGAACTGGCTCGAAATCATTTGGAGTAGAGCAGGTGCATCCATCGTTTGTCTTGCCTCAAATTCTGAGCCTCTGAATTCATCATACCTGTTTTCTTCTGTTTTTCTTGCACTAATTTATATTTTCTTTCCAAGTGGTATATTCGAAACGTAATCACCACCGATACTGTTACTACCTCTCCTATTCTGTGATTTGTCCTGACAGTCTATTCTATCTGTGTGCTAATGAGGTATGGTAACTTGAACCTATGTACACATACGTACCAAGTTATTCGTTGCGACTGACTGACTGAGATATGAAGATGAAACGCAAACCTCAACGATCATTGTAATAAATTAATACTAGTCATGAAAAATTGGCGAAGGGACTTAGGTTTGTGGAATGATGGGAGTTGGGACCTATTGCTTTTTACTTACAGTTCAGGCTTGAAGTGCTGAATTATAAATGTCTCGGCAGTGCATAAGTTTTTGATCCGATCTACTTTCAGTTCAATTCTTTTGACTGTGTAGATTTTTTTAAAATGACTATTCCTCTGGGTACTGTGCAAAGCATTGATCAGGTGGTCCTGTATTTCTTCAGTGGTAGTCCTGCATTCCGCTGTTATTATCTGTTCTGAGTATTTTTCTGAGATGCGTTCGGAAAGTGTCCTCTTTGTGCTGTCAGTGTAATCTGTTATTCAAAAACAAGCAAACTTATACATCCATGAATGTCAGACCGACTGGCGAAGACAATTCAAACCTTAGCTGAATAGAAAGTTTTTCTCAGGGATTTTGAAATTTGTTTAATTATAGTTACCACAGGTGTACCTCATTTAAGTTCCATATTCATAAAAGAGCTTTTTTGAACTACCGGTGATCTTAAGTTTCCATCGATGAGCCTATGTGGATAGTCATTTCTGACCAGCATTTGTAGGAGTTGAAATAATTTGTCGTTTATCCGCGTAATCTTCGAGAATAAGGATTCAGTTAGGTTTTGTCTTTCTGCTCAAAGAGACTCAAATATGAAAATTTGTATACTGATAACTCCACGTTGGCTATGTATGCACAAATCCTTATAAAGAACCATCTAGCTTTCTCAACAGGAAATTGAGGAAATAAATTTCCACGTTCACTCCTGCTTCTAATTCAAAGTTTACTATATGATAACAGTTGTTGAATTCGTCCAAGATTTCATTATGGTCCATATTTTCTTCAGGAATAACGAAATATGGGATCTTTTTATGATGTAATCTATCTTGTTCTTTTATAGACTCAAATATTTATTGAACAAGTATTGATACGAATATGTAGCTTAGGTAAATAATTTCATCGAAAGGAAAATTTTCCCCACTGAATTCTCTATAATTACTATCCTTGAAATTCTTATTTGACAATTGTGTTTCACATTTTTTAATCTTAGGTGGCGGAAAGAGCCTGTGTTATCAGCTTCCAGCTGTTGTTCAGTCTGGCTTAACGGTCGTAATTTCTCCTTTAAAAGCACTAGTGTTGGATCAAGTTACAAAACTTCAGTCACTTGGTGTAAGTCTCATTTTTAAGATGTATTTTCAGTATAATTAGTGAGAGTGGTGCGAAAACTAAATAAAACGATTAAAAATTAAAATAAGAGCTGTAGTGTCAAGTATCATGCTAAATCCTCTGTAGTTGTAATTTTCTTAAACGTTTTTACCGTACTCCTTTATTGTGTTTTCTGGCTTATCATAAGAAAAAACGGCCTTTTGCATTTTTTTAACAAGTAATAAGCTCTCTGGCCAACTTTGTCACACATTTTTTTTGAGTTTGTATAACTTAGTCGTAGAATTTTACTTTCACTCGTGTTGAATGATAGTGAATTTTTGCTGCATTTTTCGAAGTTTACAAAATTTCTATTTCAGCAAATATTCTGTTACTGCTAGTTATATTGCTTTTTGTATTTATATTTTACTATGCTTATTTCCTCATTGTTTCTTTTGCGTAGCTCTGCAGTGATGTGTAGTTTTTGAAATTTTTAAGGTGCAGTTTTTAAACTTCTCATCAGGTGGCTTGCAACTACTAAAAATTATATGATATTACAGATCGAAGTTGTCTTGTTTTATCTTTATCTTAGTATCTCGGATTTACTGTGAGATATTTTTTTGAGAACTGGTTAATCATTTTGATTATAATATATATTGCATACACATAGTTCCCATTATTATCCTGATGATAGCAAGAACGAAGATTGATGCAGAATAATATGAATTCATATTATTTCGTTAGGTTCTCGTCAGCTGCCTACAACCTTTTTTATTTTTATTTTACCACATGGATATTGGTACAAGGAGGCACCAAATACATATGCGCCACACAAATCTCATTCGACATATGTGAGGGTTGTGATGCTGCCCGGGTGCCCGAACTGAAGCAGATGGTTTTCTTAGGGGGCCACACCCCGAGCCTTCGACCTGAAGGTCTGATCCACAAGGCAGTGGGGCATCGTAAGGAGATACAGTCCCATGGAAGCCGGTGACCAACAATTGGTTCATACGCAATTTGTTCCCTCAGGATACTGGAACCCATGTGCACCATTGGTTTAGAAACCAGTTAAAGCGCCGGACATTAGCTTTTCGTCATCTCGTTTTCGTAAACAACACCCCCACCACGAGAAGACAGTGAGTAGGACTTCCCTGGCAGAGGCTATATACACGTGGCCATGTGAGAGCATTTCGAGAGGGAGTGCGGAGTCTTCCCACTCTCGGCCGTACCAGGGCATTTGGGGGCATTACAGATAATGACATTGATTTTAAAATATTATAGATTGTAAGCAGCTGACGAGAACTTAACGAAATAATATGAATTCATATTATTCTGCATCAATCTTCGTTCTTGCTCTTTCTAATATAATATATTGCTAAATTTGATTTAAAACATTTTTAGTTTTTGGCTTGTGTGACTAAATGGGAACATTCCATTACTTCTAATTCGTTTTATTGTGGTAGATAACTGTAGCCGTGTATTATAGACATAAGCTCTCCTAACTATTTATCGAGATGACTTTGTTTACGATCAATTTGCCTTTTCTTCTTGTAGTTTTATTCATAACAATTTTGTTGTCAATACTACCGATTTATTAAAAATTATCTTGGGATTAGAAGTGTACTCACCTTTGCTTATTTTTAGGTTCCAGCGGCTCATCTGACAGGTGAGGCCAGTCTCTCCGAAAGTGACCAAGTATACACTGCTTTACATATGGCCAATCTCCGCTTAAAACTTTTGTATGTAACACCAGAGAAAGTATGTTCTTTTTTACGTAAATCACACACTCCTTGATATAAGTTTGTGCTATAATACATTGAACTATATTTTAACTGTTGTTAAATTATGTCTAACACAATATACATATCATCATATAGTAACCGAAAAATAATGTGGTTATTAGCCTTTAGGTACGTAAAAGTGAAGTATAATCACTTTGTTAAGCGTCAGCTTTTTGGTTAGGGCTCACGGATTTCAACCTTTAAGTCTTATATCTGAACCCTGTCTCACTCGTTTTATTTAGGAAAGTTGGGTGGCATCATTAGCCTTTATGCAGACGTTCTGCTCAAAACCGAGTATACCAAGCTGTTTGGTAAATAAACTACATTGTCTTAGTATTAAGGATGTTGATATTCTGCTCTGCATTTTCTTGAATGTATGTTCCTCACAGTTCATAAAGTTTTTCGTTTCAACCTGATCTGTAGTACTCGCAGTGTTTATAAGTCTCTTTAAAGTTTTCATGGTGCTCTCAAAAGGGAGATGAAATAATGTAGGAATAACCGTTTCAATTACCAGCAGTAGCTACTATATACTGTTCCAGGACCCAAAAGGTTGACTTGGTTCAAGTCATTTATTTGGTAAGTAGCATATCTCTAGAGAATCTCCAAAGAAATCAGTAACATTTAGTGGAATACTTCGAATGGTATTTCTTCAACATCTTAGGTGTTGATGAGTGTGTTTCGGAAAATCTTCGATTTCTACTAAAGAATTCCTGCTATGTCTGTGTCTTAGTAGCACCGTTACTTTTTATTATTGATGGTGTAGTTCTTTTTATTGTGTTAACGTCAGGTATAATTACCTTTACCACATAACCTATGGTATGAGACTGCTTAAATAGTAACTTCTCAAATTTTTCGTAATAAATTTCTAGATCGCTGCTTCTGATAAGCTGAAAGGATGCCTAGAACAACTGTACAAACGTAAACGTTTAGATCGTTTTGTGATCGATGAAGCCCACTGTGTCAGTCAGGTGAGTCTTTTAGTAACAATACAGTGGTTGAGATCCACAAAACTCCTGATAACAATGCATTGCACGCAAGTAAAAGCTATCCGCATGTTTTTTCTCACAGTTTTCTTTTCTTTTTGTGAATCAATCAATCTGTTTATTTTTTGCTGTCTGATTGTATTTTTTACTATTGATAGTGGGGCCATGATTTTAGACCGGATTATAGAAATCTAAGCATTCTACGAATCAATTTCCCAGACGTACCGATGATGGCCATGACTGCTACAGCTACACCAAAAGTTCGTAGAGATATTCTACTTCAACTGAAAATGACAAATACTAAGTGGTAAGTTATTTTTGTTCATAATTTCATCTCTATGAGCGGTTCAACAAATTATAGTCAATAAAATCGTATTGAGTAATGTAGGGCCCCCAAATGCCCTGGTACGGCCGAGAGTGGGAAGACTCCGCACTCCCTCTCGAAATGCTCTCACATGGCCACGTGTATATAGCCTCTGCCAGGGAAGTCCTACTCACTGTCTTCTCGTGGTGGGGGTGTTGTTTACGAAAACGAGATGACGAAAAGCTAATGTCCGGCGCTTTAACTGGTTTCTAAACCAATGGTGCACATGGGTTCCAGTATCCTGAGGGAACAAATTGCGTATGAACCAATTGTTGGTCACCGGCTTCCATGGGACTGTATCTCCTTACGATGCCCCACTGCCTTGTGGATCAGACCTTCAGGTCGAAGGCTCGGGGTGTGGCCCCCTAAGAAAACCATCTGCTTCAGTTCGGGCACCCGGGCAGCATCACAACCCTCACATATGTCGAATGAGATTTGTGTGGCGCATATGTATTTGGTGCCTCCTTGTACCAATATCCATGTGTTAAAATAAATGAGTAATGTAGGTTTATTGTTATCATATGTTGTATTCGGTTACCTCCGTCTGTGTCCTCGTAACTCAAGACTTCCATTATTACTTGAAATCCGAGTCTTACTGTTAATCATGTATAACTATTTAGAATTTTGGGTAGGAAAATAAATTGGTAAAGGTCTATGCTATTGCAAGTTTTTCTATGAAACAGTGTCATTAAACATATGTTGCTTACTGTTAAAGTCATGGAGTGATGCGTATTTGAATATTTTGCAACTCCCGCGTATCGTTGGTAATCAGATTGGTGACTGGTTCAAGGCTTTCACATCGGGTTGGAATCTACGGAATTCTATAGTTCATTTATTCCACTTGTTTCATAAGATAGCAGTGATATTGTGGTGTGTGCTACTTATATTGAAATAAGTAGTATATGATTTTAGTCGTAGACAGGAGGTCTGGAAGCAGAGAGACAAGAGGATTGAACAGTAAAGAATGGAAACAAAATCCAATTTGTATGAAAGTGCAAGAACAATGGAGTCTGAGTCATTTTGAGACAATCGATGAACATCTTGCAAATTAAGCATTTACTTTATGATTGCTAGATCTTATTAACAAGTTCTGTAATTTTGTGTTAGATACATTCGATTGTCCCCACCCGTGTTCTGTTCACTACAATATGACCCAGCAGGTTATAGTCCGATAATCTAAACGAACTTATATGTTGTTTTTTTCATGTAACATAACATTGCAAATCAATCAGCATTCGTTTCGACGATGTAGCATCTGTCAACCGATCCATCTTTCAGCAGATATCGATGCAGCGGTGCTTAAACTTGTTAAATTCACAAAAGAAGTTTTATTTAGTTTAAGATAGTTACTTTCAGATGTAAATGTTTTCGTCACATCTACAATGTAAGCTATTAGTTTGGGACCAATACAACTCGTCACTTGTTTTCACTAACTGTTAACCTTAGTCAAGTACAATCAGCGTTCTATGTGAATACGGTTTGTGCATTTCTTTGTAACAGTTCATATCACGTCCAATATCTGGATTCACTCACTATTTATCTTTATTTTCTCGAATATTAAATATTTTACTATTATGGACCTTGATATACCTTGTCGTATTACTTCTTGTTTTTAAATATCACTAATGTTTTTGTCATATCGGGTTGTTACTCTCTGTATAATTGCTTGAATTGGTTTTTGCGCTCTATTGGATTATTTTTTATTATTTATTTTAACGCATGGATATTGGTACAAGGTGGCACCAAATACATATGCGCCACACAAATCTCATTCGACATATTGGAGGGCTGTGATACTACCCGGGTGTCCAGACCGAAACAGGTGGTTTTCTTAGGGAGCCACACCCCGAGCCTTTGACCTAAAGGTCTGATCCACAAGGCAGTGGAGCATCGTAAAGAGATGCAGATCCATGGTAGCCGGTGACGAACGGTTGGTTCATACGCAATTAGTTCCCTCAGGATACTGGAACCCATGTGTTCCATTGGTTTGTAATCAGGGTTTTCTAACTCCCCTAGGTGAACTCTTCGTGTCCACCAACCCGGTTAAAGCGCCGGACATTCGCTTTTCGTCCTCTCAATTTCTTAAAAAAATAACCCCCACCACGAGAAGGCAGTGAGAAGGACTTCCCTGGCAGAGGCTATATACGGGCGACCATGTGAGAGCATTTCGAGAGGGAGTGCGGAGTCTTCCCACTCTCGGCCGTACCAGGGCATTTGGGGGCATTCTACTAGATTATAAGTGCTTAAGTTCATCAATTTAAGAGGGTCGGCTCCTTAAGCTTGCGTTCATCAGTTACAGTACTTCTAACTAGTTGGTATAAAAGAACTTTTCAAGTTTTAGTTTAACTTGTGCTCAGATATTCGTTGCTCTTGTCCTTCTCTATTTATAACTCAATAATTTACATATTCTATTTTCGTTTAAAATCACCTCTGTCTGCTATCTGAGCAGCTAGATTTTGTAAAGAAAGTTCACAGTCTCAATTGGAAAGTTTTCGTGAACAAAACGTTTTTACGCACAGTTTTAAGTTTTCTACAACTTACTGAAACATATTTTATCCTAGCTATTTTTAATACACAGGTTTATTCAAAGTTTCAACCGTGCGAACTTAAGATTTGAGGTTCGACCAAAAAAGCTTAAAAATTGTACAAAAGAGATTATTGATGTTATACGTAACGAGTTTCCTAAACGATCAGGAATCGTTTATTGTCTATCACGTCGAGAATGTGATGTCGTAGCTGAGGAGCTGAAGGCCGCTGGACTTCAAGCTTCCGCCTATCATGCTGGAATGACAGATGCTCAGAGGCGAAATGTTCAACAGGCATGGATACAAGAAGATAAATGTAAGGCAAGTACTCTTTTAAGTCATACCACCTAGTTTTTTTCCGAAAACAATAGATTTAAAAACACATGCACTTAATATATTCTTGATTCACTTTCGAACTAAAGAATTTCAAACCCTGTGTAGGTTTGTCTAAAATAAACTACTTTTTAGTTCTGTTTAGATGCTTGTGACTCTTTTCCTCTATTTATTTTTTAAACAGAAAGCTGTGAGTACAAGCTTTTTACACAATAGTTTATCGCTTTTTCCCTAAAAAAAACGAGAAACCAACAAAACTAGAAGGCAATCTGAATTAACGCAAACTCGAAAACTTGTAGAGTATCAGGAATTTCTGAGTTCATAAATAAAAGAGATAAATGTAATTATTTGACCGTCAATCGTGTTTTGTAAGGTTCTCGACCACTGTGTCTAGTAGAATATGTTTGACATCAGACAAAGTTTACTGCCTGACCGACTCAACGCCTTGTAGATGTCTATTTACGTCTCTTAAGGATTCACAAAACCTTCTTTTCATAAGCATTATGTTTCTACAGGCTCCCTACAAGGTTTGTTTAAGGATCGATGAACATTGTGGTCAGAGTCTATCAACGGTTTGGAAGCAACATCTACATCTGGTAACTACCTGAAGTTGTGTCAACTCATTCAAACCACTAGCAGCAAGAAGATTAATGCCACTGAAACGGTTTATGAAGTTAATAAGACACCAAATTAATAATATTCAAAGGCAGAGTTTTTCGAGGAGCGGTTCAGTTAGTCTATTTCCCCGGCAACGTCAATCAAACTGTCCTGTCTTCTCTGACCGATCCATTTTTACGAAACGGAGGTCCGTAAGGAACTCTAATATTTAAGGCGTCCCAAACTACATCAGTTAGTCAGTGAGCTACAACGTAGCAGCAGGCATATATATGCATCGGTCCAAGTTGCCATACCACATCAGCACAACAAGATGAACACCAACTTCATAGAAGTAGTTAATTCAATGGCGATAATATGTAACAAATGGATTGCATATAAGGATATAGTACAGGAAGAAAGAATTAGTTGATAGAAAGAAAGATATAAAGCGATTTTATTATCATAGTTTATGGGAAGACGGAGAGTATTTGCACTTACGCCATCGTGATCGATTCTGAGCCATATCACCCAGTCTCCAACCATTGGTTAAGATAGTCGCGCAGAACCAAACAGGACTATGTTAGCTGCGTGTCCTAAGTCAACGAGTGGACCTCCTGGTTGGAGATCGGTTCCCTGAAATTCTGTGGACGAGAACGTTCTTTTCAGCAATAGATCTATGATGAAATTAAACAACAATGGAGATAATGGATAGCCTTACCGGACACCACTTGAAATTACAAAATCGGGTTTAAATTTTCCATAAGATCTGAGTTGACTGGTAGTGTTCGAGTAAAGAACTTTCACATGTTTTATGTACTTCTGAGATACGCCTCTCAATGACACACTGACACAGAACCTCTCGGTCTACAGAGTCAGATGCTGCTTTCAAGTCCAGAAAAACCATCTTTTTCAGCTCTGACATGTAATCAGTTCAGCCACGATCAAATACGAAGACAGCCTAATTTCCTCATATATTTAGTTCATGAGTCTTTGTTAGACCCCCGATAATTATTAAGGCCAGTATTTCAGACGCTATATTAGTCAAACTAATCCCTCCATGGTTATCACATGATGATCTTGATCCCTTCTTATGTTTTGGGACAAACAGTGTTTGCGACCAGTCTGATGGGATCACATCTAGTCCTCAGATTTTAGCTGAAATATTAGTCAGCCTAGTCGCTAAAACTGGACCACTCTCTCTTGAGACCTATGGAACCAATCCATTTAGACTCACTGCTCTTCCGCGTTTCAGATTAGCTGTAGCCTTTTGAACTTCAGGTAGAGTCGGGGTACCTACTTCAATGTTCCATTCAGGCTATCTGGGAATGGTGGGTAATTGTAGAGTAGCTGAAGGCCAGCTAAACTGTTCTCTATAGTGCTTCGACCATCGTTCTAAACGTTCGGACTAGGTGGGAGCAGATGAGAGTGTCGTCTTTTTCCGAGATAGTCTCACTTACACCGGACTTCTAAATTCCGGTTTCTTTTATTAGTCCGAAAAGCTGTCCTATGTTACCTACAGCCGTTATTTTTTCCATCTCTTTTGCTCTCGTTGCCCACCACTAGTCAAGATCGTTCCGTAGGCTTTTAATTAACCTAGATCTGATTTGTTTTCGCTGTTCATCATGTTCAGACCCTTATGGGATGAGTTTACGAGAGTCTGTCAGTGCAATAGATGTCGCGGAAATCCACTGGTTTATCGTAACCCTTTAGTTCAAATCACCAATAGATATCGCTGTCGTTTTCACGGCTGTCCCTAAATCTTTCCGAGCAACACCTGGTTCAGCCTCGTTGTCGGAATTGCCTAAGTGTGACTTCCGTTGTTTCTGGAATTTGCTTTGCCCTACTCATCACTGAAATCAATTCTAGTGGATTTACTCAATATGGTCTTTCTATATCCAATGGGGTGCCAGCAAATACGTACTCGTTTTAGAACATAGTCGGAATCTAAACGTGTACTCCGGAACGAGCGACAGTCTTCTATCGTGCCTTTCCAACGATGACTGATGGCAATATGGTCTATTTTGACCCATAATTGGTTTGGTGAAGGGGGTCGTCATGTTAGACGATGTCTCTCCTTATGTTTGCTAAAACCAAACGTTTGTCTGACTACAGTTGCAGCAGACGACCACCATTATCTCTTCGCTGAGCTCAAACTACGTAATCCGGAGGATTTGGCCTCTACTCTTAAGGACGATAGTGGACTTGTTGCTAGGGAACTGATTGAGTTGTTTGGGAAGAATTGTCAAATAAAAACTGCTCCAACATCCTAGAATAAAACGACCGTCGTCTCATTTAAAAAACGGCTACATCATTCATAAATTAACTCATGTATATTGGGTTCGAAATATTGGCTTTCACTTTAATCTGGAGATTGTACAAAACCTGTAAAAGACTGACTGATAAGTCTTGTTGATTAAACGCTTTATTCGTTTCCTAAGCTATTCTGGTAACCCGCAAGCTAGAACTACACAGTGACCTGAACACCAGAGAGAAGTCACAAGTATGAGGGAAATACTTTACTCCAAGGTTCGTTTTTGTACAGAAAATCATGGGTATTTATAGATGTTAGCTTTTGTTAAATCAACATCATTTTCCGGCCAATCCGTTAGCGACATCTTATGCTACTGACCAATAGTAGCACGCCACATTGGAATTCTAAAATGCTGCATCGTGCTCTGATTGGCTAGGACTCTTCGGCTCCTTTTGGGCCTCTGGAGGCTCCTTTGAAGTTCTCCGAAAGCCGACTCAACACTGACCCTCTGGAAAATGTCTAGTTTTGACCACATTTTCACCTTCTACCAAATGTAAGAATACTTATTTCAATCCCCCAATGATTGTGTTTCTTGATATCAGAGTCGCCTTCGATGCGATGAGACTATTCTCTGAGATTGGCTGATTAAGATAGATGTACCTGAGAGGTTTAGCAATATCTAAAAGCTATTTTACACAAGTAATTTAATCAGAGTGAGAGGGATTAACCATCTTTTTCCACTATCACGAACTTCTGTCCACAGATTCACCGGGCTTAAAAATTCTCAAAATACTGATCATTTACCCCTGCTATAATTTAAAATTACGTTACGAAAACTTAGTACAAGAACCAGAAACCAAATTAATAATGCAATGGTCACAGGAGCATTCATTTGTTTTATCAGGTAATTTACATGCTGGAGCACTGGTTGCATCATATCCATTTGACGGTAGTGCAAATATGACTGCCTATTATTCTGCATCTCCTGATGATGCAACATTCAAACACTTGGCTTCAGTGTATAGTCGTGTAAGTTGTGATTTCTTACTGATATAGTATCACTTGAATATGTAGTATAGATGCTTTACAACTGTTTAGATAGCCCATACTGGCCGTTCGCGAGTTTAAACTCCAAAATATATTTGATTTCGAACACTATCAAAAAATAGCCTGATGGTCCGCATCTATTTTGGTTATTTATAAGCAAGTGGGATGACATGTAGTTATAAGTATCAGTATAGTTTCTTCGGTTTAAATCTTTCTAGTCCGTTCAGTGGGTCCAAGTAATTTATCATTATCATAGTTTTAAGATAAGTTTTATTGAACTATAAGTTAGCTTAGCTAATTTCTATGTCATTTCACCTTAAGCAGAGCACTGATTGTGGAACCCACGGCAAATCATGAATACAACACAAAGGCTGTCTAAACTTCTCACAGTTGTGTATTTTATCACCGCTTGATAAGAATTTTAACTTTCCCGTTATAAAACACTCCAAAACATAATACTATTGTTGTTGAATTGTCTCAACAGTCTAGAAAACCACTGCATTTTAACCATGTTTAGAGTAATTTTGGGTGACATAAAACGTTAATCACGGGATTGTTAACGTGTAATTAACAGTTTGCCAACTATTTTTAGATTAGCAAGCCAGTTTTTCAAGTAAATACTTCCGAGTCGAGTTGTTCGAACCACTCAATTTTCGTCAGATTTTAATACATTGCTAATAAATTAAATGAATAAATGACACGACAAAGCATAGCGATTTTCTAAAATTTTAATTATCATTTATTCACGGAGATAATAAAACTCTTACAATTCATAATAATAATTGTTGATCATCTTTCTCAGTTGTCTGATTTAACTTATATTTCCCTGTACCAATTATGAATAACAATTACAAGTTGTAAGACATTAGTATCTACATGATGCACGTTGCTACTATATTATACTCACATAGTATGTTTCATCCATTAGTCATTCGTTTGTAACCCGACCGTTGTTGCTACCTTGACGTGGTGGTCGGGCTTGTCTATCGTGATGAAGCAACCGAGCTATACTGGCTGGAACAACCGTTCCTCAAGGTCCTACCATGTCAGACAGGTCGGTTGAAGAGCGGTAAGACTAAAAGCAACAAACCCAATGTCCGAAGGCTAAGTCGTACTGCTGACTGTACAGATGTGTGACAACAGTAAGTTGTTTCATCCAGACAACCAGCATGACAGCGATGCTGCCTTCCCACAAGAAAGGGTTGGGGTTAGAAAAGGTCGACCCTAAAAGTGCACACCTCACCTTATCCCACGGATATCCGTCTCCGGCGATAAGGTCTCAACAGGTACGGAGCTAACACAAAAATTGCCCATAAAAAGGTCGTGTGTGACCGACCTCAAGCAGTTGTTCCTTGAGCACTACGGTCACGCTCTCAGGTCACTGAGACCGCCTCTAATCCAATTTCCTTTTCAGGTACTTCCAGAATAACCCTTCCTCGGTGTGGGCAACCGGGAAGTGATAACCGCCCTCATACCCAGATGTTGCTTGGAAAGATATACAAACAGCTGTGGAAACAACAGTGACATCTATCAGTGATTTAAACCACATGGTTACAAAGAACCAATGGATTTCCTCAAGGTCTATTGCACTGATGGATTCTCGTAAACTCATCCCATCAGGTTCTGAACACGATGAAGAGCGACAACAAATCAGATCTAGGTTAACCAAAAGTCTAAGGAACGACCGTGAGCAGTGGTGGGCAGCGAAAGCAAAAGAGATGGAAAAGGCGGCGGCTATAGGGAACACAAGACAGCTCTACAGACTAATAAAAGAAACTGGAATTAATAAATCAAGTGTAAGTCAGACTATTTCGGAAAAAAACGACACCCTCATCTGCTCTCAGTCCAGACGCTTAGAACGATGGGTGGAACATTTTAAGGGGCAGTTCAGCTGGCCGTCAGCTACTCTACAACTACCCTCTATTTCCAGACAGCGTGAATGGAACATTGAAGTAGGTCCCCCAACTCTCGCTGAAGTTCAAAAGGCTATAGCTAATCTGAGACGAGGAAGGGCAGCTGGTCCAGATGGATTGGCTCCAGAAGTCTCTAAGGATGGTGGTCCAATTTTAGCGATTAGGTTGACTAATATTTTAGCTAAGATCTGGGAAGTGGGTGTAATTCCCATCCAACTGGTCGCAATCACTGATTGTCCCAATATATAAGAGAGGGTTAAAATCATCCTGTGACAACCATAGAGGGATTAGTTTAACTAATATAGCATCTAAAATACTAGCCTCGATAATTATCGGACGCCTAACTAAGACTCGTGAACTGCAAACACGAGAGAATCAAGCTGGCCTCAGACCTGGTCGTGGCTGCATCGACCACATTCACTATTCGTCAGGTTCTAGAACATAGGCATACTTATCGGCGCCCGACAATGATGGTCTTTCTTGACTGAAAAGCAGCATTTGACTCTGTAGACCGCGAGATTCTGTGGCAGTGTCTGTCATTGAAAGGCGTACGTCAGAAGTACATAAACCTTGTGAAAACTCTTTACTCGAACACTACCAGTCGAGTCAGAGTTTATGGCGAACTGTCATCTGCTTTTGCAACCTCAAGTGGTATCCGTCAAGGCTGTCCACTTTCTCCATTTTTGTTTAATTTCATTATAGACCTATTGATGGAAATAACATTTTCGTCTACTGAGTTCTCGGGTATTGATCTCCTTCCAGGAGGTCCACTTATCGACTTAGAATACGCAGATGACATAGTCCTGTTTGGTGAAGATGCCGATAAAATGCAGAGTCTTTTGGTAGCACTAAGCAACAATGCCAGAATGTTTGGAATGCGCTTCTCTCCCTCTAAATGCAAGTTGTTGCTTCAGGAGTGGTCTGCGTCAACACCTGAACTAATGATAGGGAGTGAACTAGTCGAACGCGTTGACAACTTCACTTATCTTGGAAGTCTGATCAGCCCTAATGGGTTGGTGTCTGACGAAATCTCAGCACGGATTCGAAAAGCTCGCTTGGCTTTCGCCAACTTCCGTCACCTATGGCGAAGGCGAGATATCCGTTCATCAATAAAAGGACGAGTATACTGCGCGGCAGTTCGTTCTGTTTTAATTTACGGCAGCGAAACATGGCCATTAAGAGTAGAAGACACTCGTAAGCTACTAGTATTTGACCACAGATGCCTTAGAAATATTGCTGGCGTCTGTTGGGATCACCGGGTAAGTAATAGTGAGGTTAGACGCAGGGTATTAGGGAATGATCGTAAATCAGTTGATGAGGTTATGAATCTTCATCGACTGAGATGGTTGGGCCACGTGTTACGTATGCCCGAACACCGATTACCACGTCGTGCAATGCTATCCGGTATTGGAGATGGTTGGAAGAAAGTTAGGGGCGGCCAAACCAAAGCATGGCATCAGTGCTTGAAGACACTAACTTGTAGTCTGAGCCATGTTGGTAGATGCAGACTACTTGGTTGGGGTCCGTGTGACTTTCGTAACCGATGGTTGGAGACTCTTGGTGACATGGCTCAGAATCGTTCACAATGGCGTCGGTGTATACACTCTCTGTCTTCCCTTAAACTAGGAAATTAAAATCGCTTCATATCTTTCTTTCTACGAACTAATTCTATCTTCCTGTACTATATCCTTATTGCAATCTTTCTTTTATATATTACCATCTCTGAATTAACTACTTTTATGAATCCGGTGTCCATATTGTTGTGTTAGTAAAGTATGGCAACTTGGACCGATGCATATATGTGCCAGGTCCTACGTTGTAGCTGACTGACTGACTGACTGACATATCATCTTGCTTAGGATACCAGTATGTTGATTTTTATAATAGTTACCCATGTTAATCGTTGTTATCTTAACATTCTTACAATACAATACACATGTCTTACTTTCAATATATGAAAAAGGACCAACAACAACGATGTAACGACAAAAAGTAGGCTGGTTTTGCAAATACTCATTGTCATATTAGATACATTAATATTGTTAAGTTACACTGTCATGTCGTTTAGTTGTTTAAGTTTTCAACAATTCCAGAGGTATAAATGCAAATAATCTAAATGCATTAATGAATCCAATGTTGATGTCAGATTCATCTTGATCAATTTTTAGCATTAATAAGAACCGCTTAACAATAATCTATGATCAACTTCTGATTTACATTATATTCATAAAAGTTAATTTTAGGTAGTCGTATTTTAAATTTGTAGATTGTATGCGCAACTATTGCTTTTGGTATGGGGATAGATAAACCAGATGTTAGATTTGTTATTCACCATTCCTTACCAAAATCAATTGAAGGTTATTATCAAGAGGCTGGACGTTCAGGAAGAGATGGATTACCCTCGACATGCATTCTTTATTATCATTGGCATGATGTTGTCAGATTACGGAAGCTAATACAAGGTTATGTTAAGTTGTACTTGAGAAAAATTTCAAATTTTATTTAATCTAAATTATGCCTTAAACCATTTTTTTCTCAAATGTTTATCCATTTTCTTATTGACTGAAAATTATATGTTTTTGTTCATGTCTTGCAAGTTTATCAACTACATGTTAAGAATGAATAATATTCCACGTTTGACATATGTTACTGTTGCACGTCAATATATAAGTCCAGTTTGCTTAACATATAAGCTGAAATTCAATATTGTGATCCCACTGTAAATTCGAAAAAATATTGTACTAGACAACCATTAAGTATTACACAATATTCACTAATCCTTCAATTGATATTGGATTATAATGCAAACTAAATTAAAATGTATTGCAGACATTTTTAAATCATTAACCAGAAAACCTTTGTACAAAATAGACAGGCTGTATTTCCCAGTGTAATAGGGATGCACGCTTCATTGTCTTTAGAACTCATTAGCTAGATGTATCTAAATGCCAGAGTTGATGTACATGGTTCTAGTCCCGGAGCAAACATCAACTCTGGGATGAAAGTACATCCAGCTGACGAATCCTAAATAAGGACGAAACCTGCGTCCTGGATTCCACTGCTGGCCTCAGTCCATTTATCGTGAACCAACTTGTGTATTAATGGTTATATTGAGATATTTCGCACAGAATTCACATATGCCAACTAAGACCAATTAAATATATATATGCATTTGTCTTGTCTTGTAAATTTGTTACCAGCATATTGCAGCCATACTCGTTATATGTAGCTGATTGTACGTAAAATCGCATTTGGTTATTGCGTTACATTATTTTTTGTTTAACGGTGTGGGCAGCCGGGAAGTGACATCAGCCCTCATACCCGTGACAGCACAAGAGACCAAGGTGGTCACATTCAAATCCTTCCTACACCTCCTAATACCTCTCTTATCCTCCCGACTAACCCTCCTCACGTCTCTTTATCACCTCGCACCGCTAGGGCAAACGATTCGAGTACGTGGAACGCCATTCCTGGTCTCCTGAAACCACGCTCTAAACTACACTTAGGAGCTTTTAACGTACGAACACTGTGCCAAATAGGACAGCAGGCTTCCTTAGCTAGGACTTTAGAATCTCGCGCCATCGATGTGTGCTGCGTCTCCGAAACGCGCATACAGGATCCGAGTAGCGTCATTCATTTGACCTCACCATGCCAAAATAAAGAACCGACTCGATTTACGCTTCGTGTATCTGGAAGCCCTGATTCTGCTTCCCGTGGCCTCGCCGGCGTAGGTATAGCATTGAGTCCTAGGGCAGAACTAGCTCTCTTAGAGTGGATCCCAGTAAACAGTCGTTTGTGCGCTGTCCGACTGAACGGAACAGTAAGAATCCGGAAAGATAGGGACACTCGTCGTTGTCTCTTCGTCGTCTCTGCCTATTCTCCCACTGACTGTTTAACGTAAAATATAGTTGTGATTAATTGGTTGATTACTTTAGCAGTAATATACTGTTCCTTGCTAAGCTTTGTGGGGAATTTAATATTTGTAAAGTAATTACTTTTACTATAGTCTGACATTGACGGTTACTTCCTATCTGATAGCTATTTAACAATCGTAGATAATTTCTATTGAAACGAAATGATAAGAATGTGAAATTCAGCCTTGTGATTTCATTATTTTGATTTCTTTACATAAAATGTATTATTTCGACTTGATTGCTAGTCACCTATCAGTTATTCTACGATCACTTACTGATCATAATAAAATCCTACATTGTTCAACTAGTACCGTTGTTTTTTAGGTAGTGTTTATCATTCCCTAGCTTTCATACTGGTTAACTAATAGTTTTGTAAACACTACTTACTGTATTCAAATGTTTCTTAATAATCCAGGCGATGGATCTTCTTCAGTAGCTAGAGGAACTCATCAGTTTCACGAAGATGCACTTTATCGTATGGTTTCTTATTGTGAAAATCAAATTGACTGTCGTCGTAAACAAATGCTATCACATTTTGGTGAAGCATTCGATTCAGCTACTTGTGGAACTATAGTTGGTTGTTTGTGTGATAATTGTCAGTTGTCTGATCGAAGACGTCTAGAACACAGAGATGTAACAGAAGATGCTATTAAAATAGTTCATACAGTTGAATTGCTTGTACGATCACGACGCAATGTGACAGTGAATTATCTTGTGGATATTTTTCGAGGTAGATCATATTATAAATCGCGATAATTCTTGTATGTTACATTATTTGTTTGATATTATTACATACTGATACATTAAGTCTGTAGAATTTGTGTCATCTGATTTATCCAGTGTGGTCAAAATCAGAGTATTATGGCTTTAACTGAACTGTCTAATATTTATGCGTTCAGTATGTTAGAGAGAGGAATACTTATTTTTCGCTTTTGCAACAAGACCAGTTAAATTGTTGTTTTCTGAAATGATGATTATTAATCTCAGTTTGTGTTAATGAGAAAATAGAATACAAATAAGATAATAACAATCAGGATAAATGGGAAAACTTATTTTTAAATTAAAAGAAATAGTCCTTACGTTTTAAGTTACATTGTGTGACTTGAAGTTAATTCAACGATAAAAATCTTCGCTATCATAATAAAGAGTGCTGTGAACATCAACTAAGCAATTTGTTTTATTCTTATAATCATCTCAACTTTTTAGTAACATTACTATTGTGTGAAGTGAGAGACCAATAAAATTATAATAAAGATTACACATCTTCCTATGTCAATCTGAAACATGTCATTAATCTTTTCTTTTTTTATCAGGAGCAAAAACCAGTCAAATTCAAAAAAGTGGTGATGAATCAAATCAAATCTATGGACAAGGTTCTGCTTATTCAAAAACAGATGCTGAGAGACTATTCCATCGCCTTATTTCCGAACGTATCTTGTATGAAGAGTTGGCAGTTACGCAACTAGATCATGTTGTTGCCTACGTTCGTCTTGGATCAAAATCAACAGGATTACTAAATGGTTCTATTAAAGTGAGTTGTTTTTAGTATTATTGATTGATATAAACTTCGAGATTATAAGAAGTAATGGACTATTCCTTTAAAATCTAGAATTGACCTCAATTAAAGGAAAGTTGGAAACCAGGGATTAGGGAACGATTTCTACATTTATTTTACGAACTATTTTTGGAAGCATGCATCCTCAACTTCATGCACCTATCGAACTAGTACTTCCCGTGATGAGCGGACTGCCATTTTAACATTGCATCAAAATTCAGTGGTTTACATTTTGGCTAAGTAATGTGCATTTTTAAAATCAAAACCTGAACTGAACAATCATTTTTGTGCTCCCTTGTTTTCAGTTGTTTACCAGGTAGTAATAATAATTAGTACATTAATTAATTTTCATTAGATTAAACCTTCACAAAACCAACCAGCTGAGTTGGTGCATTAGCTGTTTAGGGATCAGTGTTTATAAAATATTTAGAAAAACCCTCATATAGATACTTTTAACGTTTTGAATTCAGTTTACAACTCAATTCAGCTAAAGAAAATTTAGTATTTTTGAGTTGGCGGACTGAGTATTTATTGATTATTGTGATTATTTATTGTCTCATTTTTGGATCAACAAACACATTACCTGATTTTTATTTATAGATTACTTTACCAGTTTCTATACCGAATCGATCAGGACATAGTGAAACTAATGTTGTTGGTCGCCCACCGGAAGATCGTTATGCCAGTGTTCGTAATCAATGCTATGAGGAATTAGTCCAAGTAGCAAAACAACTTAGTAAGTCATTGTTCTATCTTTGCATTTGTGTAATTGATATTAAATTGTTCTATTAACGTCTTTTTGCTTTATAATGAATAGTCTTAATTTTTACTTTGTTGAAACAATCTATAGTATTTGTTGTTGTGTTTATCAAAAAACAGCCGTGTTTTTTTAATTAAAATCCAGTTTGTTTATTCGCTACCTCTCGGTTCATTTAGTCGATTTTCGGTGAGTAGGCTATAGATAGTATGTTTTACAAGTCTACCTCATTTTAAATAGTCGAATTATTTGAACCACCCGTTAAATGTCTGAGGGCTTTGTAGTCCTCTAACTCACTCTACAGATGTGAGTTATTGTAATATCTCGGGTGGATGCACCAGGTTAAAAATGGACTGTAAATAACACGGGTTACTTCTGGGTTTTTGTATACTTATTTGCTTCATTGATTAGTTTGAGAAGTAGTTGTGATTAAACTGAAGGTTTTTTTATCAAGTATTCAATTCATTACCTAATAATACTTTTCTATTTAGAGGATATTACAACTAGTTAGTTTTGTTAGGACTTGTTTTTGAGGATGTAGTGTTTATTGGCTTTGTTATGATATTCCATTTATAATATACTATAGGGCTTACCACTGGAATGCCTTGTTTAACCTTGCATATATGTATGTAATATTTTATGGGGGAACAAACATTTTCTACTGTTTCTCTGTAACTACGTACATGGAATTTTATTCTTGTTTTATTGTCAACTGTTCAATTGGTTTTTATTATTATTGTTATTTTTACTATACAGCGTCCGCTCAAGGGATCTCAAATTATGCTACTGTATTTCCAAATGAAATGCTATTAGAAATGGCTTCAAGTTTACCAGCTACTCGTGAAGAATTACTTCAAATACCCCAGTGTACGGATTACAAATTGAATTGTTTCAATGCAGAGTCATCATTTTTAGAAATTACTTTAAATTATCTTTCAATTCTTGGTGGTAAGATACAATTGAATTAATTGACTCAGTATTTAATTTATTTCTTGAGTGGTTTTTTTCATTTCATTCAGATTATCACTTTCGTGTGTCAGATGATGAGCCTTATGAAATATAGGTAACAGAAATATTTATCTTCTATAGTTTGCTTAGTGATAAAGAAAGTCACAGATCGAAATTATATACCAATGATTAACATTAACCTTTATTTTCCAATAGCAAGTAACTGTTTTATATTGTAGTTAAGCATATTGCCATCATGTTTATTCCATATGATTGGTTTGTTAGTTTCATAACCTTACTACACTTTGAAAACTGTGGATATAACTTGTTTGTTTGGGTCACACCAATTATTATTCCTTGTTTTAGGATCATTTATAGTACGATCGGAGAATTTTCGCCTATAAGTAACTGTTACTACGTCGTTAACAAAATAAAAAAAAATTAAATTAGAATGTTGGAAGACTGGATAAGGTATTGAATAACAAAGAAAAGTTTGCACCAAACTAATTCTTATTCTTTATACTTGAAGATTATCACTTTAAGGAGATATCTTCGTCTTTCATATTAATTATTCTTTCTGTGAAAGATTAATCCAGTGCTTTGTTCGTGTATGTCTTGCTTAAAATAAACCTTCCTTACTGTTTTGATTTTTGAGCCTTAAAAGCTGAAGAAAAAGAACAAGAGGAAATGAACACTCCTCAACAATCTTTACCACTAACCAGTTCTAGTCGCGGGCGAGGACGTAATTTCGCTAAACGTGGTCGTACAAAGGCTTACAGTACAAAAAAGGTTTGTAAACTTTATTTGTTTGTTATTTTGTATTGATTAAAAAATGTATCCACCCACTGTTATTATTATTAATAGCCTTATTCAATATTATACGTTTAGTACAATATAAAATTATAAACACGATATTTCCACAAGTTTCTTTTACATAAACTACCCGAAATTAAATGAAATGCTTTTTAATAAGATTAGAATCTGTACAAATTTTAATTGATTAAAATTCAGGTTACTGACCTTTAACAATCTGTTCGTCACATACTACATTTGCTAGATAAAGTGTTGTAGAGCTTTTATACCTTTGCTCGTGTGCATGGATTTTAATGTATCGACGTCTCGTTCTACCAGAAGATCAACAACAAGACATAAATAAAGTGGATGATTAGTATCTGATAACACCTAACGGGAGTTTGCAAGATTTTAGATGTCTATCCGTAATCATATTAATAATGACCTTAAAATATCCACCACACACCTTACTAACTACCTTCTGCACTCTCCACAATATAGCAGAGTCTTCTCAAAAATCCAGGGAAGAATCATGGAGAACAGTAATGAATAATAAGTAATATGCAAGAATTGGCAAATCGTAAAAGTAAATGTCTAATAATAATAGCATGCTACCTTCTATAACAATAAAACACGACATGGCCAATAGAGATCAGAGTAAAAACACACACCAAGATAAATGACTTTTAACACTTTATTAAAGAATCGCCAATAATACATGATTTGTGGGATCCCAACAGTATGTTTAAATGCTGTTTATGTCTCAGGCTATGGTTAACAATTTGAAATTTTGGAGGATTATGTGTGAACCCATCGTTCAATAGGAGACGAGAACGCATCCATTTCAGGGGGATATGAGTAGGTAGAAATCGGCGTGCATTCAGTAGGTCGTACGCATATTTAACAAGTGTTTCCTGTCAAAGATGGCAGGTCATACAGAAAAAAAAGAAGGAAAGGAACAATCCCTTGTGGCACACCTTTATCACTCAGTAGAGACATTGAGAACTTTCGTTTAAACACAGTATACTGTTTTCTTTCAGAAAAGTAAGAGCACAGCCAGTTGGTTATCCAGCTGACGATGTTGACGCTGATAAACTTGTTAATTAGTGGTTGTCTTAGAATAGATTCAAAACCAGAAGTGTAATCTAGAAATGCTGTACACTATATTATGATTAAGAAGAACAGCATCATCTAAGGTGCTTCTTTTGCATTTGTAAGCAAACTGATATGAATTATTATACTCTTTTTGTGCACATTGAAGTTGGAGTAGCAATATTTTTTCTATAATTCTGACACAAGGTGAAGTTATTGCTATGTGTTTAAATTCTACATTTTTATCATCAGATACTTTCTTAGGTATTGGAATTATTTTTCTCTTTCTCCACATTTTCGATATGAGATTAGTTGAAAAGGATTTGTGAAAGATGCTTGTCAAACATTAACAAAGAATGTCAGCACACTTCTTAAAAAGAGGTTTGGGATTTCGTCAGGTCTTAAGCGTAGGAACGAGTTAAGTGACTGGAGACATTTTCGGACATCAGTTTCAGTGAAAATTGGAAAACAATTATTCTTCAAACCTGAGGATATAGAATATATTACATCAGATGACTGACGTACGAAAAACTTATTTAGGTCGCATACATTCATCTGGTTATCGCCTCTCACATGTAAGCTCTCTAAATATTTTTTCTTCGCTTATTGGTCTTGGATTTAACTGTATTGTACCAATAAGGTGCTTGTTTATTTGTCATCTTACTCATTCTTTTCAATTCGCATTGATTCCAGGATAATTTTAACATGAACCTTTTTAGTATTTGGTTATTGGTATCAATGTTTATGAGCTTTTTTCCATTCAATCTTGAGCCTCAGTACTTATTTTGTTGATTATACATCAAAATCATAAATGGCACCTTATTAATCGAATATTTTAGATAACGCCAAGTGGTGGAGGCGAACGTAAACGAAGTTATCTTTTTGGTAAATATCAATTCAAATCCAATCCTAGTTCGTCAGCGTCATCCAGTAGCTCAGCAGGCTGGAAGCGGTAAAAACTTTATTCTCAAAACATGACTTGACTATTATTTTCATCTGAAATTATTTCTATACATTGTGAAGAAATAAATAACAACTCCATTTTTACTAATTTTTGCGTCCTATCCAGCTACCACTATTCAAACGGTTGTAGTTATGCGAATCGACCTAATTTCATTCACTATTTCATGTTACTATTAGTGTTCTAGTAATTTAACGTCAAGTTTAACAAACTAATTGTTCTACTCCTTCATATTTTAGTCATGTGACCATCATACATTCTTTGGACTTATTATTTATTGACGTATAATACAATTATCATTAGAAACTGATATTATTTTAAGAGCTGCTATATATGAAGGAGCGTTTCGTGTGGTTATAAATTTCATTAATTTTGTCCCTGATCACATAAATGCACAAGCTTCAATTATTGTAATGAACAAGTCTTTTTTCAACCTACCCTTTGTAGTCCATTAGTTGCATGTTTTGGAATTTAATAAACTTGCTACTTAATGTTGTTGGATAAAAGCATTTTCCCTTTTATTGCTAGTTCCAGGAAATACATTAGTCTCTTTGCTCACAATATCGTACTGATCTGTGTGTAGTAGCCATTATTATGTACTTGGCATCACGGACTGATCTTAGTTAATCAACCATTGAAACCGGAAAATACTGGTCAGATATTTCTTTGTAGTATAGGACTCCTCAAATTTGCGCACACAGGAGCTTTAAGTTTCTTAGCAAGCGCTTAGCGTTTAGATTACTAAGCCGACATCCAGTACTTCTCTAACTTTAATCAATTCATGTACGTATGTCAGTTAATTCCACAATATCATTTTTTCATTTCTTATAGAAAAGCTCCAACAAGTACGTTCAACTCAAACACATTTCAACCAAAACTAATGAAACTTTCTGTAAAGCGAGATTAATTAGACGTTTTTATCGGTTATTTGTAAAGTTACTTATTGTTTTTATGCATTTTGATGTATCAAAAGAATATTTGATTTAAAAATATTCGTGTTTCCTTTTTTCTTTAAAAAATATATCTGGGTTGAAATGTTACTTAAGACAAGTATTTTGTAAATTTAAATGCAAAAAACTCAAGTCTATCAAAGATCCTTATGATTGCAATGTGAGTGGACTTTTAAACTCAAATTCTTTGTTTTGACAAAACACTAATACCTTACACCAGTTAATGTACTATCATCTCAGTGTGCAGTGTCTGTAAGATGGTGATCAATCAGATTCTTCTACTTCCTCTCTGGAAAACAATCTCATGGATAGGTTACTTTGCCTGTAAACGTCAGTAATGATGCTTCTATCTGCGTGAAAAAAGTTAAAAATACCTAGCTAACATATTTAAAAAGTAAAATGCAATGCAGATTGTGTTCGTAGTGTAACGTCGTTTACACGTTCCTGTATTTCGTTTTCATCTCATTTCTCTCTGAAATAATGCTTAAGTTGTTTTATCATTTATAGAAATTACTTTACTAGTGCAGCGAGCACTTATTTCACGAAGTTTAAGAATTACATGCCTCACACTTGACACTGTCAACATAATGGGATTATTAATAAACTTGTTTTGTAAGATATCCGTCAGTAAGAATCCATAGTCGATTAGATAGTTAATTTTTGATGCGTTATGTAAAGTTGATAGTCATTATAATTCCAGTAAAACAATAATATTCATAACTAGGATACTGAAAGACCAGTATAAATTTCTTAGTATGATAAAAGTTCAAATGAACTATCATAGTTCAGTAAATAAATACCAATACGATTTTAGATCATTTCTGGTTTAAATATTTAGATCTATCAGCTAGTTTTATATCTTGGTAAACGTGGTACTATCATTCAAGAGGTGAAATTCAATTTGTTAGTAATAAATATATTCTTAAGTATGGCTTACTGATATACAATTGGTCCCTGATAGATTACTTGTTTTACCAGTAACAACATACAAGTGTAAGAATACCGTGCATTCAGTGGTAGGGCTGCAAGAATTAAATTACTATTTCAGAGAAGTGAACATATGAAATGTGACTGTTGAACACTTAGTACTTTATATTTTTAAACTAGCAATACAAACTAAATCTCTGTACTGATGGTAAGGTGACCTATATCTTAAAAAAATAAATGATTCAAAGCGAGCAACCTATCTTCGTGGGAAAGTGTTTCGTAAGTGCGCTCACACTACTGAAGACACAACAGTTGATGATAGGAGAGATACCTCTTGAAAAATTTATACAATACATTTATTAGAAAACCGAATAAGTGTACACTTCGTTTAATTAACTTGTATGTGTATTCAATATGGCCGCAATGTCAGACTTAGTTATGAAATGAATAAGTTAACCCAACATATTTTCAAATAGTGATGTGAGAAATTCGGATTGAAGAAACAGAGTGTAACATCTAAGTCATTGATTTCCAATGTACATCTCATGATTCGCTAACACAGTTGGATGTAACAATCCAGTTATTATTGCAGATATATCGATATCTTGTACAACTTTGTTTCTTCATATTTACCGATATATTATCATTTAGAAAACCTTTGTTTGTTATACATAGCATTACAATAGTGATTTATTCTCAGGTTTTGCGCTCTATTTTTTCCGAAATTGCGTAATCAAAATTTTAGGTAAATAATTATTGGATCATCATATCTTATGATTGGGGTCACCACAAGTATGCTAATGTTCATAACGTTCCTTTGCTATGTTTACAAATCCACGAATCCCGCTTATTTATAACTAGTAATAAGAGACATATTTCAAACGATTTATTTCTGAAGGAAACACGGGTAAGGAAAACATTTTTCATGTGTATGAGGATTAACTAAGCTCTTTAATGCTGTATACTGATTGAAAAGTCACATAGGTGTAAAACAAGACTCCCAAAATGGGTGAACTACCTGAAATTTTTGGCTAGAATTATTAATACACAATCTTGCTTGTTATATAATTTGTACATGTGTATTAGTCAAAATGTCATGAAATCAACCATCATGCTGCCTTTAACTAAAAATAATCAGTTAAAGTTATGAAACATAAAAGATGAGAATAATAAAGAGTTTATTCCACTTTTCAACAACTGATCTATAATGAGGCTAATTCTGGTGGAAGTTCAAGCTGTGATAAATCACGGAAATGTAGTAACAGCGCCATCATTTTTGTCAATCGTGGTACAGTGGATGAGACACCGGAATAACCCATAGAGTTCGCAGTCACAGAGCCTTTACCCTCTTCTGATGTATCGATTTCATCTCCTGATGATTCGATATGTCGAAGTATAGCTCGATTTAGTGCTCCTGCAACCACTTCAGCGTGTTGAGGACTAAGCAGCTTGCCATAAATACTTTCAGCAGGATTATCAAAAGCTAATAGTGCCATAGTATTTTGCATTTCATTCAATAACTGAGGATGTTCTGATAACCGTTTGGCTACTGGATCCGCTAAATACGACTGGGCAAATATAAGGGCTTCTTCTAAACGCTTGTTCCGAATAAGTTCTAGCATTTGCAGCTGCCGAAGCTAGTCGTAAAAACAAGAATTTTTAGATATTATTTAGAGATAAAGAGTGGGATAATGGATAGAATTCGGCCAAGGAAAACAGTCAAGATACAGAACATGACACTACTATTTTGTGATGTAAATATGTAAATTATCAACAATAAATTACATCTTACCTATTAAATTAGTGTGTGTGTGTGTGAAAATTCGGAGGATACAAAATAAAGCAAATATGCTTCAGCTTACAACATTTGTTGTCCCTACCTCATAATGGAACTGTGAGAAATTGTTTGATATTGACAGTGGCCATTCGATTAATCATTATGAGTAATCTGTCAGATAATCATTACACTGACCTGTTATAGGCTTTTAGAAACAACGTACCGATAAGTATATTTGGCTTTAAGAGTCCAATTATATTAAAATGATGATGAAATATATAAATAAAAGTATGTGACAAAGGTCTTTCATGGAGTTTAGTAACAACTCCGTTCTGCATTACGCTCTATCTATTACGATTTCGGAATTGTAAGAACACAGAAAGATTATAGTACATACGCTTAGTTCTATTGACAGTAGTTCAAACAGTAAGATTTGTACCTAGAGCTTCCTAGCACTTTGATCAACTGAGATGACTGAATGTGTCATGCATTCTCAGTCGTTGGTCACATTTATGCACTATCCTGGAATAAGCTTACAAGTCCTTAAGGGCAATCAGAGAAATACATGATATAAGCTTATGAAATTAATTATCAACATATTCTGGAGAAAAATGTGGACCTTTACGACATGGCAGGCGAAATCGTAGTGAATAATGATTGCTTACTTTAGGTGACATAGATCATGATTGTACGTAGATGTTCAACCGTGTTCTGATTTGGGGACTTGTCGAGTGAATCGGTGTCCGAGAATACTAAGCAATAGGAATAGCTGGGTCATAACCGTAAGAAGAGAAATTATAACAATGTGCAAACGAACTTATTTCGAATCTTTCCTGATATTTTCCAAGTATTATTATCCAGCATTTTTATTCCTTCGAACTTGTTTGCCTTTAATGATATTTTAAACCATCCACTTTCCCGCTGCTTGGACTGATATATGTGCAAAGATTATTAGAGAAACCGATCTCAACAGCACTACTGAATCTCAATGTTTACTTGGTTTCCTTTTATTTCAATAGATTTCTACTTTGGTTATTTTCTATACTCAAAGCGTCGATGTTGTTCAGTTGTTAATTTGAGTTGAGGTATATTTAACCAGTCCACTACTTTTTTATGGAGTTTTGGATTTCTTTAGTTTATAGGTGCTATTCATCACAGACTGACCCTAGTTGGCGCACCACTGAAAAGCAAGAAACACTGGGGAGCTTCTACAGTTCCAGCTAGTGATTAGTCTAGCATAGCATATGGATGATCCATCAATTATAAACATGTATGGATAGTATTGAGACTTTACACAGGTAACGCGTGTCAAATATTATATTCAAAGGATTGACATGAGATAGGAAGTATATCTTACCTGAAAGTAGATAAAAGGGTTTTTATCAAAGAGTTCAGGCCATAATCGATTCACTGTATCAATAACGTCTTCGATTTTCCTTAACAAAACTGCTTCACGAATCCACATACGATCATTCAAACTTGCACCTGCAACTTGCAACTCATTTAAAGGCTCTACAATTCCCGTCTCACGACTAAATTTTTCAGCAACATCTTTGTAACCTTCAACGACTAAATACTCCAAGATGAGTCGATTTATTTCTTGTCTAGTCAAACTGAGTCCATCTTGCCCTTCAATGGGACCAAGAGTGTGAAGAGGGACACCAATCGATAAAGTATTACTTGACATATCAGTCCCAACTGTACTAATCGGTGCTAATTCAGTTTGTCCAGAGTTCACTTCTGTATGTGGAGTAGACATAGGTCTTAACAATAAGGTTAATAACAGGAAAAATTATGCCTAAATAGCGATCACCAGGATGTAAATAGGCGTATTAATCAATAAAAATCAATTCCACATATGCCAAAAACCTAATCAAAATTTAGTTATTCAAAATTCTAAAAATATTTGAGCATGTAAAAAGTGCGCAAGAATACACAACAGTAGGATTTGATTTTTAGGATCGAGCTTTCGTGACCTCTTCCTTCCGTTGTGAAAAGGCAGCATTGCTTTAGATGCTGGTTACTCAAGGAGGACAACTTACTACTGTTACGCACCACTACAGTAAGCAGTAAAACTTCGCCCTCTAACATTACAGTGCTGGTTTCGGTCGTACCACTCCCCAACTAACCTACCTGTTAAAATTGGACCAAAAGAAACACGTGTTCCAGTCAATATAGCTCAGTCGAGTCACGTCAACGCGCAACATACTACACTGAGGAGTTACAAAATATAAGAAATCGAAAGCCAAATTAGCTGATAAAATCCGCTGAATGAGTTCACGAGCTAGTGCCTTTATTTACATTCTATAATAATCCATCATTTATTTGGAAGCTACTCGTAAGGTAGAAACCACAAAATCAAGGTAAGGTTTGTACCTTTACAAATCTTAATTTTGTATGGCAAGGTAACAGAAGAAAGTCACCGAAGTGGTCAGGTACAGTTTTAGACTTGCTAATACTTTAAATGGTATGATTTAAGTTTAGCAATAAATGCTGTAATCCAATGAAAACGTTTTTTGCTTATAATACGTGCTTTTATAAATGCTACGGGTAACAGATCGAAAATAAAGAAAGCAAGAAAGTTTTTGTGATTACTATCCCATAAGTGAGTACCAAACAGAAATGTAGTCATTCAGTCAAATAGAACGTATGTATATCGGTTCAAGTTACCATACCTCATTAGCACACAGATAGAATAGACTGTCAGGACAAATCACAGAATAGGAGAGGTAGTAACAGTATCGGTGGTGATTACGTTTCGAATATACCACTTGGAAAGAAAATATAAATTAGTGCAAGAAAAACAGAAGAAAACAGGTATGATGAATTCAGAGGCTCAGAATTTGAGGCAAGACAAACGATGGATGCACCTGCTCTACTCCAAATGATTTCGAGCCAGTTCGACCAAAGTACATAACCACTGTTTATTATCATTACTAATGGTCTTACCCAATATTATGTAATCAACCCGATCCCAACAAACTAATCTACACCTGTTAAAATGGCTCAGTGCAATCCTCAATCACTTCATCCACCAATGACATGTTTTGGTTTGGCAATATAACACATGTCCCAACCACCTCAGCTGATGAAGATTCAATAACCACCTTATCAGTCAATTTATCATCCTTAACTAGTACCCTATCCATAACACAGGCATTGCTTACTCGGTAGTATGTCTATGTTCCAGAACCTGCTTAAGGGTGAATATTCGGTCCAACCTGATTTTCTCGGGTTTACTCTTCACGACCTCTAGTTAGACGTTGAAGCACTTTTGAGGCTAATATTTCAGACACTATATTACTTAAACTGATCCCTCTGTGTTTGTCACAAGGGGACTTTTGTACTTTCTTATAAGCTGGGACGATCAGCGATCGAGACCAGTCAAATGGAATTATGTTCACTTCCCAGATTCTAGCTAAAATTTCAGTTAATCCGAATGTTAGAACTGCACCATTATTCTTAAAAATCTCAGGGTTTACTTCACTAGGATCTGCTGGTCTCCATCACTTTAAATCACTTGTAGCCTTTTCAACCCATGATTTGGAAGATTTACATCAACTTGCTTGAAGATGATGGATAACTGAAAGTCAATTGAACTACCTCCTCAAGTGTTTTATTTATTTATTTAACGTCCTCAGCTCAGAGAGGCCAGGTTTCACAAGCACAGAGCAAAACTACTCTTACCGACGCGTTGTTGATCCGACCTCTTACAGCCAGACTAACATCACAAATGCGCCAAACATGGCCCGGATTGGCATAAGCCGCTCTGGCTTTCACCATACGTGCATTGATCCCAACACTCACACCCCCACCAGCACTTATGCAGCTACCTAGATACACGAACTTCTCGACTACTTCTATCTGCTTACCATCCAGGGTGAGTACAGGATTAGACCTGCTTCGGTCTGGGCACACCTGCTCCTCAAGTGTTCTCCCTATTGATCAGATCTTCCGGATTGAGAGTAAATAATACCCTCGTCTTGTTCCAAAATAGTTCCACTAACAACTGCATTTTTACTACCCATTTCCTTGATAAGTCTGAACAGTTGTCTACTGTCACATATCCCTTCTGTCTTTTCAATCTCGTCTACCGCTAACGATTATAACACAGGTTTTTATCAATCTACGTTTAAGCTGTGTCCGCTCCTCTTCGTGTTTAAGACAAGAAGGGTTAAGTTTGCGAGTATTTATCGACTCAGTAGACTTTGCTGAAACCCAATGACTTTTCTAAGCCATTTTTAGGTTATTGGAAGATGTTGCTGTTGTTTCCACAGCTGTCCGGAAATCATACCAAGCTACCTCGGGGTGGATATCACTTTCATGGTTGAATAGTTCCTTCTCTAGTTGTTTCTGCAATATACTCTTAACATTTTCATCATTAAGTTGAACTCTGAGGGGTTTTCTTGCTTCGGCTTTCATTTGTCCAGTCAGACGCAGACAAATACGTGCTCCAACGAGAGCATACTTTCAATTTATACGTGTGCTCCGGAATGAGAGGCACTCTTCCATTGAGACTCTCCAATGAGAGATGATGTCAATATGGTCTATTTGAATCTACCGTTGAGTTGATTGTGAGTGATGCCCGCTTGAAATAAACGAGTATCTGAGCATAGTTGCAACAGATGGCTGCCATTATCTGTTCGATGAGCTCAGACACCATGAGGTTCACCTAAGTTCCTTTTTCTTTGCTTTAGTCCACCTACTTGAACATGACAATCAATCGACATTATTATTGCATCAGAGTGCTTAGTTTTTTGAAGGTTGGAATGCTTCTTGTAGAATTCACCCTATAATTCATACGAGCTAGAGTCAGTGGGTGCATAGGTAGAGGACAACGAGGTGACGACGTGGGTCCCTATCTTTCCGAGTTCTTACTATTCCGTTTAGTTGGGCAGTGTGTAAGTGACTATCTATTAGAATCCTGTCTAGGAGAGTCAGTTCTGCTTCTAAACTTAATCCTATTTCCACACCAGGAAGGCTACGGGATGCAGCAATGGGGTCTTCAGATACACGAACAGTAAATCACAGATTTTTTATATTGACAAGTTGAGGTCAAGTGAATGACTGTTTGGATCCTGTATGCAGGTTTCGGAGATGCAACATACATCAATGGCGCCAGGTTCTAGAGTCTTAGCTAAGGACAGCCTATTGTCTTATCTCATACAAGGTTCAAATATTGTTAGCTCCAACATGTAGTCTAGAGCCGGGTTTCAGGGGATCAGGAACAACATTTCATGAACCCGAGTCATTAGCAATGGTGGCGTTTGGTGACTAAGATACACGAGAAAGCCTAGTCGTGGGGATAGGAGAATTATTAAGAGATGAAAGAGGGATCTGAGTGAGAACAAGATCTCGGGTACTGATAGATGTAAGAGGGCGGTTGTCACAACTGCTCACACCGTGAAACGATATTTCTTCTTGAAACCTGAGAAGGAATTTGAGTTAGTGGTGATGTGTCCGCAAAACTCGACGGACATCTCCTTGGGGCCGGTTACGTACGGTCTTTTTGTGTGAAGCTTTTCATGTGTTAGCTCCGCAATTCAGACCTTACCGCCGAAGACGGCAATCTATGGGTTAATATGAGGTGTGACATTTTTGGGATCGATCTTTCATGACCTCTTCCTTCCGTTGTGAGAAGGCGGCATTGCTTCAGATGTTGGTTTTCCAAGGTGAACAGTTTAATACTGTTAAACACCTCTACAGTCAACTGTACAACTTCGCCCTCGGGCATTAGGTTGCTGATCTTTGGTTGTACCACTCTCCCACCGACCTGCCTGGCATAGTAGGACCTAGAGAAATACGTATTCCAGTCAATATAGCTCGGTTGAGTCGTTACGATAGGCGAGTCTAACTTCCAAATCAAGGTAGCACCCACAAGCATATTCGTTAAATGGACACATCATTTACATTTTAACCAGAGTCAGTCAGTCAGTCAGTAACAACGTAGAACTTCGTACGTACGTACATCAGTTCGAGTTGCCACACCACATTAGCACAGAGATGCGGTGGTCGATTCAAATCCCGTAGTGGTAGAGGTAATAAGAGTATAGGCAGTAATCGGGAAGATTAGGGTTTGGAGATGTTATTTAAAGAGTATAATACAGTGAAAGAAATTTGGAAAGAGGGAAAAAGGGACATGAAGAATTCAGAAGATTAGAATTCGGGAGAACACAAAGAGTGAATGCACCTGCGCCATTGCAAACGATTTTGAGCCATGTCATTCAGGGTCTCTAACCATCGGTTGCTGTCATCTCGCGGTCCCCAACCAGGTAGTCTACACCTACCAACATGACTCAGTTCACTTGTCAGTGACTTCATGGACTTGTGCCATGTTTTGGTTTGGCCGCCCCTAGCTTTCTTCCAACCTACTCCTATACCACTGAACATAGCACGTCGAGGCAGTCGGTCGTTGGGCATACGTAACACGTGTCCCAGCCATCTCAACTGATGAAGTTTCACTACGTCATTAATTGATTTGCCATCCTTACCTAGTACCCGTTTCCTAACAACTGTGTTACTTACTCGATGGTCCCATGATATACGAGCAATGTTTCGAAGACACCTATGATCGAATACTAGTAACCTACGGATATCCTCTACTCTTATCGGCCATGTTTCACTGCCATAAAGTAGGACGGAACGAACTGCTGCGCAGTAAACACGTCCTTTGGTTGATAGACGGATATCTCGCCTACGCCATAAATGACGCAAGTTGGCAAAAGCTAGTCGAGCCTTCTGTATCCGTGCTGAGATTTCGTCA